ATATATATATATATATATATATATATATATATATATATATATATATATAAAAAGGTAAAGGTTTCCCCTTGATGTCAAGTCCAGTCATGCCTGACTCTAGGGGGTGGTGCTCATCTCCGTTTCCTAGCTGAGGGAGCCAGTGCTTGTCCACAGACAGTCTCCGTGGTCATGTGGCCAGCATGACTAAACACCGAGGTGCAGGAACACTGTTACCTGCCCACCGAAGTGGTACCTTTTTATCTAATCGCATTTGTATGCTTTCGAACTGCAAGGTTGGCAGGAGCTGGGACGGAGCAACCAGAACTCACCCCATTGTGCAGATTCAAACTGGCGACCTTTCGATCAACCAGCCCAGCAGCACAGCGGTTTAAACCACTGAGCTACCTGCAGTCCTATATACACGTGTGTGTGTGTGTGTGTGTGTGTGTGGGCAAAAAAGTCTGATATTTAATTTGGAGTCATGACAAACCAGAACAAAAGCCTTGGGGACTACTGCAAATCCACTACACTGCAGCCCTTCCACAGCACCAACTTGTGTTTGGTTGGCAGAATGTACATGAATGGTGCAGAAATACAAATCTCTGGGGTAAAAGAGGTGTGTTTCCTTCTGCAACACAAATAGAAGTTTCAGTAAAGCAGTGGGTCAAACCCCTCATACAGAGAAGACCCTGGTAGTTGTGCTTGGATGACATACCTCGGAATAGCCAGTGATACGGCTGGTTCTGAAGGATAACAGGGAGCTGGACTGTTTTATCTTCCTGACAGGACCATAAATAGCAATGGCTCTTTGAAGACAAAGTCTCTTCCTGTTCTAGCAAAAGGCTCTTGAACACGGGATCTTTTGCTTGCTAAGCTTGTCCCGGGCTGCTGAACTACAGCTCCACACCCGATTGCAAAAAGCAAAGGTTTAAGCAACATTTTTCTGAAAGGAGAAACTGGTCATTCTCTACAAATATGTCTGGTTTTCCTATTCACATGCCATGGAATATCAGGAAATATTCTATTCTGCAGTGTTCCATTTTGTTCCACATGTGCCTATGGCTAATTAACCTTTAAGTGTTGGATGTTGGTTATTAGTAATTTACTTTCAAATTTGCTACTGAATCTTTAATCCTCTGTATCACCAGAAGCAATGTGACTAGGCTCTATATGCAATTAGATGTGCAACCACGCTTTTGAAGCAGTAGCTGCTTTCTCAATGGAGAACTTTACAGGAATATTTTAAGTGTATGCGCAAGTATGTACCTCGGATTATCCCTTAATTATTCAGTTAGGATTGTTTAGAGGATGCAAGCTTACTTGAATAAAAGACAATGAATTTGACTGGGCTGAAGCAGAGGCAGGATTGGGGACATTGCTAAGACTGGGCCCATGAGGTCCACATGTCCCCAAATCTGTTTTCCAGGGATGCAGAGCTATCGAGAATTCTCTGGTGTCCATGGAAGGTCTTGGATTCAGCAAGCCCTTCAATTTTTGGCTTCCCTCCAAAGAATTAGTCACTATTTTGTGGCCATTGGGCAAATTCAGTCCCCATTGGGCTATTTGTGTTCTTCCCCTGTCCCAATTTAGGATTTTTATTTTGAATATTTTTGCTATGCTTCTGCGAACCTTGGCGTTCTTCCCATCCCAAGCCTGCTGAAAGCTCCCTTTTTTATATGGATATGGCTGCTTTGCCTACAGAAGAATCTCCACCCAGGAAACAAGTGCAGTGTTCGTTTATAGAATATACAGTGATCCTAGATTGGATCCTACTATCTCTTCCAGGCAGTGGTGGAAGCTCCGTGCAGTTCTTGGCCCGATTTCATACAGGCAGGGAGCCTGGAGGGAGAGAAGGGTGTTGTGGGAGAGAAAACAGGAGCTGGGGCTGGGTGCCAAAAGAGATGGAGCAACCGGAGAAGGAAAAGCCTCGCGCAAGCAGTCTGTTCAGACCACTGGATAAAAGCACTCTGTCTTTCTCAGACGCTCCAGTGGAGCAGGGAGGTGATGCAAGCATGCAGGTAAAGAGAACAGAGGGTGTCTCCCCCTGCTTCTGGCCAACATCCTGGCAGATCACCCTCAGGGAATCCGATCTTTATAAGAAAAATGCTCTGTTTTCTTGGTGCTAACAGTGGGTGTGCAACTTCAAGGCCGTGGCCTTTCTCCCTGTTTAAAATCTTTAACCAGCATTGGCCTGCCCAGGGAGGACTGCCCTCTGTAAAATGGGCCACGTGGCCACCCTATTGTGAATTCAGATTTCCCTGGTCTCCACGCTCACCAATGAACCCTGCTCAGGCTCTCTGCGAGCACTCACTCCGTGTCTCTCCTCAGCAGGATTGTGGCAGAAAGACCTTCCACCTTCTCGTATGCTGACATGAAAGCAGTCAAGGCAGCAACGCTCCTGCTGCTCTCTGTGGCAACAGGTAAGATGGCACAAACCGACTTTCCAGCCTGGTGACTATTCTAAATAAACCCCAAAAGGCTCCTAGCCTCCCTTGGCTGCTCACTCGCCACCTGCAATTCACTAAAAGGATAGCAGTCCATTTTCATACCACCTCTTCCCCTTCCTCTGCAGCCAGCATGGCCATAGCTTCCTTGTGCTTGTGAAAAGCAATAAAACCTTCTGGTAAGCGGCCTCCCACAGCCGGGGCAGCGAGTTCTACCAACTCAGCAGGGAGTCCTCTGTCACCTGTAGCCACCAGGAGAGTGGTGTCTCATAAGGAGATGCTTCACCTTGAATAAATGTCAACGTGTGTGAAGCATCTTGCTTACGTGCACGGCTTCCCCTCACAACTTGCTGCTTTTTCTCATATCTGTAAGAATTACTACTACAAAGGCTTTTCTTCTTGTAAAGTGCTGGCTTTCTAGAGAGGAATATAGCCTGACTTTAATCCAAATTTCCAATTCCAATCTCACATTTCCAAAGATTTCTCCAAGCCTAATGGGCCAAGTGGGAAAGAAATGATATGACCAGAACTATAATAACCCCCAACAAAACTTTTTTGGTGTTTACTGCAACAAATCAGCATAGTTCTCCCTGAGAAAATCAGTGAACATATGACTGATCATATGACTACCTTCCAAGGGTACTGGACAAGTTTACCGTGGATAAGAAATTCCATGGTAAACAGCCCACCATGATGACTAATGCAAGTTCAAAGGCCAAGACTGCATTCACACAACATACAACATACTCAAGCACTTAGTAGGGGTTGTTAAAATATAGGTTGACATTTGCCTAAATCCAGCTGCAAGAGCAAGCCATGGGGTTTTTTTGGGCTGCAAACTGGTGTAGTTCATGCTTGACAAAGCATGGCTGGTTGTCATAACCAGGATCGGACCATGGTTCAGTAACCTGCGTTTCAACAACAACGCACATGCAATCCACACCCTGTTCTGTGTGTACGCAGTCAGTATGTTCAGTAGCAATTGCTGGGGAAGCAAGAATGGAAGATGGGTATTGCCGCCATGTCCTCCTGGTGGGCTTCCCAGAGGCATCAGGTTGGTGATGGTGGGAAATGAGATGGATGGGAGGGCTCTTTGGTCTGAGCAGAAGACATCTTGTGTTCTTGATGCCTGCACTGTTTTCCATTGCAGTAGCAGCACAGGAAGATTCCCGAATCGTCGGAGGGTTCACCTGCCAGAAAGACTTCCAGCCTTGGCAGGCTGCCATCTATGACATGAACCGGTTTTATTGCAGCGGGTCTCTGTTAACCAGGAATTGGGTGGTGACTGCTGCACACTGCAAAATGGCAGGGTACGCCCTTGCGGAGCTGCGTCAGGGAAGGGAAGGCAATGGGATGCCGGAATCACGTGGGGAACGGAAGACAGCACTGTGGTGGAGCCCTTGCGTCCCATGCATAAGGTCTCAGTTCAATCTCTGGTATCATGTGATGGGGCTGGGAAAATTCCTGCCAACCCCATCATGTGATACCAGAAGTGATATCAAGATTGTCTCTGACTGGCAGCAATTTCCCTGGAGAGAAATTGCTGCCAGTCCGTGCAGGCAATACTGGGGTATATGGCCCAATGGCCTCATTCAGCATAAGAGAGCTTGCAGTGCTGATTTTAAGGGTTGTAGCTCCATGGCAGAGCATATACTTTGCAAGCAGAAAGTCCTTGATTCAATCCCTGACACTTTTAGGTAGGGCAGCAGAAATCTTGCTGGAAATCCTGGAGGGGCTGCCAGTCAGAGACAATCTTGGGGCTGACTCAGTGTAAGGCAGAGAGCCACAGCACTGGTGGCATCCAGCTATTCCGGGAGATCCTCAAGATTCAAACTTCCATCATGCTGGGAGTTTCCACTCTGGCGTGGAAAATGGGTCTTCCTGAAATTCCCTCTCCAACCAGCTATGAGCAGGACATGCACTCAGTCCTCTGCTGCATTCCATCACCTTCTGCTTAGCTGTGGCAGTAACAGCAGGTCAGGGAAGAGCAGAAAGAGATCTCCTGACGCTTTGGACTTTAACTCCCAGCATTCTTGTCCAGCTGCCATGCCAGCTGAGACTTCTGGGAGTTCAAGTCCCAAATACCTGGAGATCTCCCTTTGCCTGCCTTGTTCTATGTGAACATGTCAAGCAACAACATCATATTCTGCACGAGAGGGGAGCAACCTGCGGCCCAGGGGCTCCACGCAAACCCCCATCTTGTGCCAGACTGCCAAATTTGGCAGTAGTGTGAATTTCGGGGGGTAGCGGGCAGAATGGGGCTTTTAATGATCTGGAGCAGTAGACGTGTCACATTTAGCTTGTTTGCAATTTAAGTTCGACCTGTTTAGCAGTCTGGAGTGCTAAAGAGGTCAAATATAGCTTGCAAGCAAGCTAAATTTAGCCTTTCTGCACTACAAAGCATTATGGAGTAGCTTAGGATGGTGGACTGCCAAATTAAATGTTTTAATTACATTTGGGAGGGCCTTGGGAAGTGCAGCCCACAGGGGGACTCTAGGTGGCCAAAAATGGCCCATGAGCCTTTCCTGAGATCCATTGCCCTCTCCCCATTCTATATCTTAAGCATTTATTCTTGTTTGCATATTCGCCTCTAAACCACCTCTTCCTGCCTTCCAGTGCTACTTACGTACGCCTGGGAGAGTTCAACATGATGCGTGCGGAAAACACGGAGCAGCAGAAAAGAGCAGTGCAACTGGTGGTCCACCCGGACTATGATCCGGTCAGCAAGGACAACGACATCATGCTGATCAAGCTGTCCTCCTTCGTGGACATCACGGACAGCGTCCAGCCCATCAAACTGGCCAGCCAGTGTGTTCTGCCAGGGACACGGTGCCTTGTTACCGGCTGGGGCACCACCACCAGCTCGAAACGTACAGCAGCTATTGCAATCTGATACTTACCAAAGGCGAAAGGAGAAGGGGAGGCAAAAGGAGAAGGGGATGGCGGAGGATGAGGTGGCCAGATGGAGTCACTGGGGTGGTGGGTGTGTGCGTGGGTGGACCCCGAGCGATGGTGGAGGACAGGAGAGCCTGGAGGAATGCTGTCACGATGGGTCGGACAGGACTTTGCAATTAAACAAAGAAAAAAAACTTACCGAAAGGTTCAGAAAAGATGGGTGCATGGGTATGTCAGACAAAAGTCACGTGGGGTAACTTCAAAATCCACAGTTGGGAAACAGCTTTATCTAGACCAGCCCTAAGGAGGCAGAGAGATGCCCCGTCCTGGGCTAGACCATCTTGTCCAGCAGAGCTGCCTTTCCAGTTCTCCAGAAAGCCTCATCAGGCTAAGTGAGCTCTGTTGCAAAGCCGCTGCTTTCATTCCTCAGTCACATGTTGCACCAGGGATGGGACACCCCCCTCCCCAGTGCATGGGAATTTCCTGCCTGGGATGCCAGCTCCTGCCCTGTTCCAGGACGGCCTTGTCCACAGTGATGCCAGGAGCTGGTCTTGCAGAGGGAGGTGCTGCTCTGGTGCCCCCTGGGATACCTGCAGGAGGTCTGCGGGGCCAGGGGAGCTGACGCCAGAGCCACAACGTCCCCAGTTGTCCATGGGGTACCTGGCAGGCCGTGGGTCCAGCAAGCCATACTGCAAGGTTTGTCCCACACTGTGGCAAATAGTGCCATAAAATCCACCCGTTTTATTTCCATTTCAAGTATGGTTACTTATAAATGTGTACATTTATAGGAATGCATATAAACATGTGCAATTTTCACACATCCTCTTTTGTCCTCTTTCTTCTCAGTTCATAAATGGCCACTGTGCTCTAGCCCCATTGGAAGAAAATTCTAACCAGCATCCTGGGTCATTAACGGGAAACTTCCCTACCAAAGGAAGCCCGGGCACATGGTCGAGGCGCCTGCAGATTTCCCATGATAAAACCACAGGGTTGCAAGGGGCAGTTCTGGCCTTTCTCTCATGATCCAAAATGTATTTAGCCTCTTGGAGTCCTGCCTGGGAAAGCAGTCTAAAGATCAAGCCCATCCTTAATTGCGTTTGCTTTGCTTGTTTTCTTAAAGCACAAAATATAACTGCAGCCTCTACGGCAACCATCCCCGAAGAGCTGCAGTGCGCTTATATCGACGTCATTTCTCAAGCCGAGTGTGAAAGGACATATCCTGACGCCATCACCAAGAACATGCTGTGTGCAGGGGTGAAAGCAGGAGGTGTGGATTCCTGTCAGGTAAGAAGGTGATGCCTCGTGGACTGAGGATTCGGCTGTTGCAGGCTGAGAGCTGCCAGGATGGAGTCACAAAAGGAGGAGTGGCTATCGAACCCCAGGGAGCTGGTCCGGCAGAGGCACCTCACTTTAGCGGCCAAGATCCTTAGGAAGAAACAAACCAGCTGTGTCGAAGGTCCATGAAATAAGGATGCAGAATATAGCCAGGCCAAAAGACATGTGCAGCCAGTCCCCTTTGCTGTGCTCCCCAAATAGGCCAGGGAGGTCTGTTTGGTGGTCCTCCTTAAGTTTCCTGGGTGAGCAACGTAACAGCTTTTCTCCCTGGGCCAAGAACTGAAGATGATGCTTCTTGCCGTGGATCTTATAAAGTTCCTCTCTCCCAGTATTGCAGAGTCTGTTAACATACACACAGGTGCAGAGCCGCCCTCCCTGGGAAATGTAGAGGGTGAGGCTGCTTCAACAAGGGGAATAGTTTTGCTTCTTGCAGCAAAAGCAGTTCTTATTTAAGGAAAGTACTTGGAGAAAGTAGTTTCGTGCAATTATATCTGGTGCTCTTCTTAATCAGTTAAAGGCTGTAAGATTTTGGCCTGGCTTCAAGACACAATCCTGGCTTTTGGACACTGGGAAACACCACTATACACACTGCTGAACCTTAGTGATCTCCTTGCCATTCTTCCAGTATCGTCCGTGCAAGACAGCAGGGATAGGGCAGGAAGCAGAGGAAGAGGAGTGATGAAGAGGAAGAGGAAGAGGAAGTGCAGTCATGGAAAGGGGCTGAAAAAGCAGGGGGGATGGATCCAGACATCATTCGGGGTTCCTGAGCTCCTCTTAGCCTAGTGAGCCATTGCCAGCACACTCACTCGGCCAAGCCATTCTCTTCCTCCTAGAAGCTGGGGGTGATGGGAGTTGCAGTCCGAAGGGTACTGGAATGGGAAAGGCTAGCCTAGAGCTTTTTCTCGCCTTTGCAGGGTGACTCCGGGGGTCCTCTCATCTGTAATGAAGAGCTTCAGGGTATCGTGTCTTGGGGTCCAGAAGTGTGTGGCCAACCTGGGAAACCCGGAATCTACACCAGGGTCTGCAACTACGTTGGCTGGATTCAGGGGATCATCCGGCAGGTGTGACCTCAGCAGGGGTATGAAAGGCACAAATAAAGAACGAGAGATGTCCGCAGCTTGTGTCTCCTTTGCACTCCTTCACACTGTCCCCCAATGCAGCAAAAGTGACCTCTTACAAGATGTAGCAGTGATGAGAACTCCCTGTTCAGGACCCCGGTTTTCTCCCTTCCAATCCCATTCCTCTCCCCAGCATTTCCAGATGCTCAGTCCTAGGGATGCCTGAGGAATCCAGCTTGGGAGTGAGAATCCATCAGATTTCCTCAGCTCAGCTCCCCAGACTCCAACTCACTTTCTCTCTGTCCTAAGTCCTCCTCATGCTGAACATTCCCGGCTGCATCCAGCAGAAAGCCACTCCAAGTGAGTCTGTGAGGCATAAATGCCTCCAATACCGTCCCTGTGCAAGCAGAGTTCTGCTTCACAGGCATGATTTGTGGCCTTTCAACCCTTTGTGCAAAGAATTACATAATTTGTGTGCAAAGCAGGCACTAGCATTCGCAAGTGTCTGCAGCCTTGATCAGGGCTTGGCTCGCTTCCTGACCAGGGTCAAGCACAGGAAAGAGGTCTGAAGTAGACAAGAAAGATGATTCCAGCCAGATCTTCCCATCCCAACTCAGTCTTCAATTTTCTGCTTTTAATGGGGAAAGGGTTTTTTTGGGGGGGAGGGGGTGTACTTCTGCAAATGTTTGGTATTTCTGCAAATTTGGGGGTTCTCTCAAGGCTGCTTAGCCTGAAGATCAGAAACAGAGGGAATTATTTTCTTTTCTCTTCCTCTGCTCATATGACAACCAGACAGAGCTAGAACCAGTGATCAAGGAGTACAGGCATTTGCTAAAGTTGAGACTGATAAAAGCTCTATGAGCTAAAAAGCAACATCTCTAGACTGGTGACTCCAAAGTTAGAGGTGCCAACAACTGCAGGTTTATTTGTGCTGAACCCCAGACTTCAGCACCATGTATAGCTCCTGAAAAGTTCAGGCTGAAAGCTGAAGGAGAGATACCAGCCCACTCCTAGTTGTTGTTGTTTGTTGTGAAGTCGTGTCCGACTCATTGCGACCCCATGGACAACACTCCTCCAGGCCTTCCTGTCCTCCACCATCCCCCAGAGTCCACCCAAGCTCACACCAACTGCTTCAGTGACTCCATCTAGCCACCTCATTCTCTGCCGTCCCCTTCTTCTTTTGCCATCAATTGTTCCCAGCATTAGGCTCTTCTCCAGGGAGTCCTTCCCTCTCATTAGGTGGCCAAAGTATTTGAGTTTCATCTTCAGTATTTGGCCTTCTAAAGAGCAGTCAGGGTTGATCTCCTCTAGGACTGACCGGTTTGATCACCTTGTGGTCCAAGGGACTCGCAGGAGTCTCCTCCAGCACCACAATTCAAAGGCCTCAATTCTTCGGCGCTCAGCCTTCCTTATGGTCCAACTTTCACAGCCATACATTGCAACTGGGAAAACCATAGCCTTGACTATACACACTTTTGTTGGCAGCTACAAAAGAGAGATGCAGCCTGCCTCCACCTTTCTCAAGTCCTCTTGCAAAGATGGATTGAAAAGATACACCCTTTTTCTATCACCATCCACAAGTTGAACTTCTGCAATAGTCATGGAAAATCCCTGCATAATCTAGAACCTGGGTTTTCCCAGGGTTCTTGATCTCATGGAGCAGAAAAGGTTCCTTGTTGCCAAAATCATCCCTCCAATACGTGGAAGGACCACAAAAATGGTGATGGAGCAGGGGCCAGGCTAGCATACTAAGCCACATCTTCCTTCTCATGAGTCAATTTCACCCACACCTATGCTGGACTCTTGCGTTCCTAGGAAATGCCCTTACCCGATAGGAATCAGTGCCTCCTTCCCTCAAGGCTACACACGTCATGCTGCAGTCCCAGAGAAGAGAATAGAGCGGCATGCTTCTTGAGAAAGATTATCTTGATCTCTGCACAACAAAGGACTGGAGGGATGTTCCCTAAAACTGAAGCTGTTGGAAATGTCGAGACACACTGAGGGTTTTGGACATCATTCACTACATCCGACAGGAGAGGTTGCCCAGATTTCAGGAGTAGAAAATCACTACCATTCCACGTATTGCATCCATATCTAGGTTTTCCAGGTCACCAGTATCCCAAAGATTGAAACTCATAAAGCAGAACATGGTAGCGTAATAGGGTGGGAACACATGATGTCATGGGGTGTCATGGGGTGTGTCATAGCATCATAAGGCTGCTATTTCCTAAAAGGCAAAAAGGGACAGAGCAAGAGACACGAAGGTCCAGGAAGGTGAACAAAATCAAGAGGAAGACAAGGATTTTCCCCCCCATTTTGGTACAGAGGCAGGTAGATTACTGCAGGTTCTCGTGCAGTTTTTTTCCCCTTTAAGAACAATGAGTAATTTTTTAAAGTCCTGCTTGAAATACAAAACAACTTAGAACCAAAAGTTCAAAGATAGTCATCTGAGACTTTCTGATATCTCTGACATTTAAACTTGCTCCCTGATGCTCTGAGGATGGACCCCAAAATCTGAAGAGATGTAACAGGGAGGCAAAACACAGGCTCTGCAAGTACAAGTCCTCAGGCTTCTTCAAGAATGGCCAGAAAAGAATCCTGGGAGAACTTTGAAGAAATCCTGGCAATGGATATCAACAGCATGAAGGAAGATGGACCAGTTCTGCCTTGGTATATTGCTGCTTCCTCTGGTCTGATAAAACTCATGGCCAAAACCAAAGACCTAATTTATATCCCATGTTTCTTCAATGCTCCTTAACAGAGTTATCGGGTGGGCTTTCTTCCCACGGAGGCAAACTTGCTCAGCCTAAACAGGATTGCCATGCTATACGTCTTCAGATCTTGGGCCTATCCCTCCTGATGAAAAGGCTCGCTTGACCCTTGGGTGGCCACATAGGATTCCTCCACAAAGAGGAAATGCATGGCCCAAAATGAGGGCAAGGCTTTGCATAAAATGTATTTGCATAGATGTGAATTTGGAAACGCTTAGAATGTAAACAGAAACGGTAAGTTTTATCATAGTGCAAAAGACCGGCTGGGCTCAGATTACTGACACTCAAGCGCTGCGTGTACATTGTTGTTGAAATGTGGGTTATTGTGTTACTGGAATCAACTTTGCTACAAAATATGGTTTGCTAACTATGAACAAGCCATAAAGAGAGTCCATAGTTTGTTGTTGGGTTGTGAACTATGGGCTGTTCATAGTTAACAAACTATGCTCTGTTAGCATAGCTAGGGTTTCCACAGGTTGGGCGTGTTCAATATATATTCCAATCCCCAAAATAAGAGTATGGTGACTGCAGGACCATTGCATTAATCTCCCATGCAAGCGAAGTGATGCTCAAGGTGTTGCAGCAAGGAATACGACCCTATATGGAGTCAGAAATGCTGCATATCCAATTTGGATTTTGAAAAGGAAGAGGCACCGAAGATCATAGTGCAAATATATGCTGGTTTCTGGCGCACACCAAAGAATTTCAGTGGAAGACCAGTCTATGCTTTAGACTACAGCAAAGCCTTTGATTGCGTGGATCACAAGAAGCTCTGGAGGCTTTGGAAAGAAAAGGGTGTGCCTCAGCATTTGATTGTCCTGATGCGCAACCAGATGGATAAGATTGATTGTTCCAATAGACAAGAAGGAACTGTTAGGGCAGAATACAGATAAACAGAATGGTTTCCCATAGCCAAAGTTGTCAGATACGGAAGTATTTGATCTCCCTATCTCTTCAAACTGTACACGGAACATATCATAAGGAAAGCTGGATTCAGATCAGAGAAAGGACAGAAAATTGGCATATCTTAATTGGCTGATTTAAGATATGCAGATAATGTTATACTACTAGCAGGAAGCAGCAATGACTTGCTGTCTGGTGAAAAGGAAAGAAGAAAGTACAAATTCAGGCCTGAAGCTGAATATTAGGAAAACAAAAACCATGTCCACAGAAGTATTGCAGAACTTTATTGTTAATGATGAAGAATCTAAATTGTGAAGCTCTCATACTTCAGCTCAGGCATAATTCAAAGGGAGACTGCAGCCAAGAAATCTGAAGACGACTTGAGACTTGGAAGGGCAGCAATGAAGGGACTAGAAAAAATCAGCAAATGTGAGGATGTTTTACTGGAGACCAAGCTCAAGATCCTCCAAACGAGTATATTCCCAATCACAACATACAGATGTGAAAGCTGGACAGTGAAGAAAGATGATGGGAAGAAAACAGATGTGTTCAAAACATGGTGTTGGAGAAGAGCTTTGTGAATATGCTGGGCCAATGGAAAGGCAAGCAAGGAGATCCTACATCAAATCAAGCTAGAAGAAAAAAGTGACAAAACTGAGGCTGTCATATTTCAGGCACATCGTAAGAAGGGAAGACTCCCTAAGAAGACAAGCCTGGTAGGGAAAGTCAAAGGCAGAAGACAAAAGGGAAGACCAAATATGGGATGGATTGAATCCATAAAGGAAGCCACGGCCTTGAACTTGGAAGAGCTGAGCGGGGCTGTCATGGACAAGATATTTTGGAGGGCTTTCAAGAATAGGGCCACCATAAGTCAGAGACAACTGGATGGCACATTACAACAGCAAGACACGTATAGGGTTGTGCTGCAAAGAACTAATTTCGGATGCAACCTGAAAAGCAAAGTCATCTCATGTGTGCTTGTACACACACCCACACACAGAGCCATTAAGAAGCATCCAACATAGCTGTGCTGCTTGCACGGAAAAAGATCTTTCTCACTACACAAATCAGTCAAGACAATGAATTGTAATCAACAGTTATTATCTTTCATTCACTTATCCAACAGATCAATCAAACCTTTGTGGTCTCATCTACAAAAGCTAAAACATGCCCATCTGGTTTTTCGGGCACACTTCAGCACAACTCCACAGCATTTATCTCCTTCGGGATCTTTTCAGTCTTGTGGCTGGTTCTTCTTTGGTGCTTTTCTACCACAAACATGTATTACATGGGCCAAGTTGCTTGTAGCTTTACCACTAAAGTTTCCGTCATTCACATGCACACTCATACTCACTCACAGGGAGGGAGAGAGGGAGGGAGAGCATAACTGCTGGGCCCAGTCTTCCCCAGTACACACAACAGGGAGTGTCTAAGAAGGAACAAGGCAGCATTTGTGCCAATACGTTGTGTGCTGTGCATGACCCCAAAAGGTATGGACAGGATCCAGACCCTGCCAAGAATTGGGTATAGAATCATTTGGCATGTGAAATGGATTCAGGACAAAGATGCTAATGAAGAGCTATCTGGTAATCCAAAGTTTTTCTGCAGAAGTTTTTTCTACATGAGTTTTTTCTACACGACTGCTAATCCACTGTATCTGCTTTCAGTTTCATGGCAGAACCGAGAGCTGAACATTAGAACAGCATTTCCTTTCCCGCTTTTTTGCCAAGTAACAACCAGGTGGCACTGTGGAATAGCAGAACAACAGAAATCCACAAGAAATTGCACTTTCTTCCATTTTAACAATTAAGTACCACTTATACCGGCTCCTCAACACCTTTCCTGAAAGTGCAAGTTAAACACAGAAGTGAAACTGGAGGACCAGAACAATATCTAAAGAACCTGTCAACAACTGTGAATGAAAGCATGATAAACACTTCATGGAGAAAAGACCTTAGGTCAACTCAAAACTGACCTTTAAACTGAGGTTGGAAAACGGAGAGATTTTAAAGGTCTGTCAGTTCAGATTTATCCCTCTTGAGCATCTGGAGGAGAAAATTACTCTTTGAAAACAAGAGCTTTGGATACATGGATATTCCTAGCTGGATGATGATGAGGAGGAGGAGGAGATTGTTTTTTTATCCTGCCCTTTTATTAGATTTACGACCTGTCATTTTTCTTTTCTAAGAATGCAAAGCAGCTTACATCATTCTCCTGCTGCTGTCAGTCTTAACCCCACAAGAGCGACCCTGTGATGAGGTTGGGCTGAGAGTCTATGACTGGCCCAAAGTCACCCAGTTGGCTTTATGGATGAGGAGGGACTAGAACCCAGATCTCCTCAGTCCCAGTCCCGTACTCTTAACCACTACACCACAGTGGCTTTTTAGCTCTTGCAAGGAACCCCAGGTAGTTTATCCAGACCTCCTCCAATCCATTTAATCTCATATGAACAATCCTGTTAAGCTGAGAATGTGTGACTGGCCCAAAGTGAGCTTTGTGGATGAGTAGAAACTAGAACCTGGATCTCGCAGGTCCCCAGTCCAGCACTATAAGCACCGTGCTGCGCTGGCTTTCTCAGATGCTGCCTTGGATGCTATCAATGCTTTTGATTCCCCCCTTCCATGTGGATTGAAAGATGGCTGGGTATCAACGGCCCTTCCGAAACCACCCGCAGGGATCTCTTGTCTTATCACTTACAATCCATTTGCTCCTTTGTTCTAAAAGCCTCAGATCCAGCCAACTTATCATGAACCGGAACATGTAGCTGCTTTTTCTTTTTTTAAGGTATGAGTATCTACACTCAACAAAGGAATGTGGAAATCGATAGCTCACTTCCAGTATAACACCAGTAAAATGGCAAAGCATCAACTGCGTATCAATTGTTGCATTCCACAAAACCAACACAGTGGCCAACTTCTGCTCCTGTTCACAATACAGATCCAGCTGAAGAACTAGAAATATAGAAAATAGCTCTTGCAGCATGCGAAGGATGCCCTCTCCTGGCACTTAAGTTTTTTTCCCTGTGTGTGGATATTAGCTTTTATGAATTCTCAGCAGTAACTATTCACCTGTGATTCCATTCTCCAGTTGTGCTTTCGAATGTCAGATTGAGGTTCAGGAATCAATTTCTCTTCCAAGATATAATATGGGGTTAATACCAATCAACCCCATCCACTTTAGCCTCTTCCGGCTGTGACCTTCATTCTGTAACAGCTCAAATTGGCAATGGCGCCATGCAGATGTGACTCTAAGCTCGAGTTTAGTACTGCACTCACCAACATCATACCTTTGCCCATAATGGAAGTCTAGCATGGAGGGAGGGAAACACACATGCGCGCACACACTCCTGCAATCAGAAGGCTTGCCACTCGCAAGCTCTTTGGAAACTCATTTTTTAAAGAGTTTGGGAAATGTTATGGCTTTGGGATTCAGACACAACCTATTTATTTTATTAGCTATATATCCCACCTTTTTCGCTACAAAGAGCTCTGAATGGCTTACATCATTCTCCTCCTGCTGCTCCCTGTCTTTTCCCCACAACAAAAACCTTCTGAAGCAGGCTGGGCTGAGAGTCTGTGACTGGCCCGAAGCCACCGGTTGGCCCCATGGATGGACAGGGACTAGAACCCAAGTGCCTGAGCCCCCATCCCACACACCTGACCTCTGCACCACACTGGCTCTCCTATGCTTGTATTCAATTTCCTTTGTGCACCATGGACATTGTTTTGCAGTGCTGTCATGTCAGTGTCTCCAACAACCAAATATGTTCACACTGTGCTCACTTTTGTCACATTAAACAAATGACATTGCTTAAATGACATTCCAACGGGATGAACGACGTTAAAATGACCTTCCAACAGTACCAATATCTAAGAAGTGAATGTTAAGCACACGGGTGCATAAACGCACATAGGCATTTCCTTCCACACAGCATGAACCGTGACCCTACATGGCAGTGTTTTTTTTAAAGATACATTTATTTACAGACACAGGCATTTTGCAAAGATTACGGCATTCAAGAAACTCAAGATTCACTTCTGACTAGTTCACCTCACAATTTGACTTCCCGTTTCCTGCAGTGAGTATTCTTTTTAACGCACACTCAAGTGTGGTTTAGCAGCTTGAATTTCCCTACATCAGTTCCTAAAGCGAACATGGCATTAAGCTCTGAGTAGCAGCTACCTGTTCCAAGTGTTTTGGAACAACATCCATAATCCCTAATCATTGGCTGTGCAGGCCAGGACTTAGGGAATTCGCAACCCGAACATCTGGAGAGCCCTTGGTTGCTTCCTCCTGGCACAAGCCAGTCACCACCAACAGTAAAGGGCCATAGAAGGGAGAAGGACCACATAAGAAACTGTGAGCTTGACCAGGCAGAGTGCACCAAATGTGAGATTCAAGCTGAGTTTGGTTAAGTTGCAGGGAGCGCAGAGAACATGAGTGTCAATGAAGTGGAAACATTTTGAAACGGCTCCAAAAAATCCCTATCCCAAAGTGCATTAAAATATAAAAGATTATCGCCTTGTCAGAAATGCAGCTATAAAAAAGCAACAGATTCTGCATCCGCTTCCAAATCAATATTTGTGCTCCATAAAATATTTGCTGTACTATAAAAGTTGATATACAAAAGAATAGGTTTTGTTACAATGAAAATATCAGAACTATATAGTGCTGCAAAATCTTCCCAAACCACCGAAAGTTAGGTAGGCATAAGCTGTAAAAGACTCTGCCCCGCTCTGTGAGGATGTCATTCCACTGCATCATCATCTGGGGAAGCATAAATGGCCTGATTCCGCCTTTTAATTTTCTTTGGGCCGCTATCTACTCTGCTTTCATCACTTATCCGCTTCAAAGGCTTCTCGCTAGTGCTCTGCTCTTCAGCCTGGTTCCCATCACTTGATTTTTCCAGTTCAGCATCTGCAGTGTCCACAGTATCATTCGGTGACACAGTCATAGAATCTGGCATGACCCTAACATCCGAAAACGTTGCGGAGACGCTGCTATGGAGGTTGGACACTGTGCTCACAGAGGAGAGCTCCAGGTCTTCATCAGCACTGTCTTCGTCTAGGATTATTTCGTCCGGATTGACAAAAGATGGCAAACTGGAAACGTCCGTGTTATAATCACTGGGCTCCTCTGCAGATCCAGTGCTTTCTACCTCTTCCTCTTCCTCCTCTTCCTCCTCTCTACGTTCCAGTTTCTCTTCTCTTACTTGTTGGATTCTAGAATTAATGTCCATAAGGCCAAACCGGGCACAGAACTCAGTGGTCTGGGGACTGATTCTATGGACCGGTTCCCTGTGTTGCTGGGACTTATTTGTGTCATCAGGAGAAACCGTAGGACTGAAGTTATGTGGAATCTGCAGGTTGTGGTTCACCTCTTCCAGCAGCTCCTTGAGGTCTTCTTCTGTGACACTGTAGTCCCATCTATGAGATGTCAAACACACCAAGGCTCGGTTAGTTATCAAGGCAAATTCCCTGGCACTGGGTATCCAAAAAGTTTCAGGACAGACAACAGCAAACCTTCCCAGGGACGGGTATGTATTTTGCTCTGGAGAAAGCATGGAATCAGGCAGTATCCTGCACCCCTAATCCCATGCTGGAAAAAGTGTGAGGACTTTCCATAATGCCAGGCTGATTTAAGACACACAGCATGGTAGAAGCACTTCCTGAGTCTGCACTGAGCCTTGGAGATACATAAACCATGAGATGTGTTGCTGTCCTGAGCACCCGTGGTTTAGTTCAAAGGGGGCAGTTTCCATCTCTCTTCTCTGCTGCAGACGATGCCACAGAGGAGGCTCAGCACAACTAGTGCTCCTTCTGGGCCTCACGCTCTGCATAATGTCCGAGCACCTGAATTGTGCTAACAAATTTGGACTGGCTACCAAGGGGAGTCAGGAATTGTTGACCCCTGGACAAAACAAGGTACTTCTTCACAAAACATGCAATTCATTTGTGGAATTCAGGTGTGAGGGTCACTACTACTTAGATGGCTTTAAAACAGAATTAAATGTGTATGTAATAATAAAGATGTCAGTTAGTCAAATTCATCGATGTAAGTAAGAATTCTTTACAAGAATTGCAAGTGACTTTCCCCCAGGTTAAGCTACCACAATACAGAGAGTCCCCGGGTTACGAACAACCCAAACTTACAAACATGAGGACTGCCATAAACCCTATATAAATATTTCTAGCAAAAAACATGAATGTGGGGACCTATGCTAAGTGTTTGGAAATGCATCTTGATCGTTTCCTTGCTGACCCAGCAACATCCAGAGGTTTGCCGGCAGCCCTGCTCTTTTTAGCAATGTGGTCACTCAACTGGACTGTTACTGTTTTATTCTGCTTGCAAGATACAAAGAGGTGTCAAATATGGTGAAAGAGCTGCATATATTTATAAAAATAATTATATTCTACATACCTTGCATGGAGTCCATTGTTTTCAGGCATATTCCAGCAATTTGGAGAGACATTAATGAGACTGTTAGTAGCTCTCAGAACAGCAATCCATTCGGGGTCATATTCCAGACAATCGGATGCATTGGGGTCATGTGCAATTTCTACAATCTTAAAAAACAATGAGAAAGTAAGAGAAGCTCACAACTCCCAACACGAAGACATGGCTGTGAAATGAGGGCAGAACATCCCTCTGGATTTAACCATCCTTACTCTCACTGCAGATGGCAATTCTCTCTTTTAGCTACTTATAGCTCATAAAATACTACAACTGTGTTCAGACAATACAATAAACCACACTCAAGGTGTGAGTACGGGTTGAGGGCGGAGTTTTGTTGACCCATGGGTTATTGTGAAAAAGCAGGTTATGGTACTGTCTGAAGCCAGCCACACTAACAAACCATGGTTTGTTCTTGGGCTGTGAGCTGTGGGCTGTTTGTTAGCAATTCACACATACGTAACAAAAGTTTGTAACAAGCAGTTAACAAAAATGTAACCAGTGAACTTTTTTTATTAGCATGCCTTGGTTCAGACAACCCACTTTTCCACTGCCATCCATGGCTCAATGGCAAGTCACATTCAACTTCTGAGCGTGGGTCATTGTGTTTTCCAAATCCAGCAGCAGTGGGTGACCTCTTACCCGTAAGCCAAATGCTGACCTCCGGCCATCTCAGTCTGAATCGCCCCATTCCACACCCCATGACGAGAGGCTGCCCCACTATGGGATACTGCCAATATTTTTGCCATCTCCTTCCATCTCTGCAAGCACAAAGCTGGCAGAGGGGGCCTTGCATGAGTCCAGAAAAGATGCCCCCTTTTCCCCTGCTGCCTAATGAATAAAGCCAAGGGTGCGCATTTGTAACTTCCCACTTTGGCCCTGCACTGCTGGCATGCAGGCACCGCCCCCCCCCCGCCCAATAATTTTGACCAAGGCAAAAGGAAAGGGGTTCCTTTAGCCCTGCTGGGAAGGATTTAGTGGGTTAAATCAAGAATTAACACAGACACATGTTTGGTTTGCTGACTGCGATGTTCCCCTTTTATGTCACTGCATCTTCCGCCTAGTAATACAGGCTAGCTTCTTCAGCCTAACCTCCCCCCCCCCCACAGATGTGTTGAATCTTTTTGCCCAGTGCTGACTGGGAATTATGGAAGCTGCAGTTCAATGTATCTGGAAAGTGCAGGTAAGGGGTGACTGCTCTATCCCAAACACAGAATTCATCATTGCTTTACCTGTAGAAAGTCTCTATGTGGCAAGCATTTATCCAAGGCCAGAAATTTTGTTGCTTTTGGCTGCCCCCCGGTGCCATTAGCCTGCAAAGCAAGACAAAGAGATATAACCGGAAACATAAGCCATGCAGCAAAAAAGGCAGCATTGCTTGCTACAAAATGAAAAGTGATTTGATTTATATCGAGGAATGTAAGAGCTGGTCCACCTGTCCCAACTGTGTCTTTGCTTCGCTCTGCCTGGCAGCAGTGCTCCAAGACGCCAGCGGAAAACCTCCCCACTAGGTGCTGTTGGAGCCTTGAACCGGAGAGGCCAGAGACCCAGCCAGCAAAGCCTCCACTGGCAGTCAATTCGCATAGTCCCCTGCTGAGAAATGGCCCCTCCCAAAAGCATCTTTAGGGGGTGGGGGGAACTTCTACAGACAATCATTTTTTGTTTTATAGAAATCTCAACAGAACACGAAAACTAGAAATCTTTGGAGAGCAAACCAAGTCCAATTTATGCATAGCAACAATGCAAAGAAGCTGCAAACCAAACCATCCTCTGTTGTGCTCCGACGTTTCAGCCAGCTCTAGGACTTCAAACCGAATTGCCTGAGGACTATTTACTAAATAGATATAAATATGAGCATTTGAATAATCTGATAATCAACTACCTTATTTTCATTGTGCAGCAACCAAAAAACCCACTGAGGTTTTCTGATTTTATTTTATTTATTTTGTTAACCCTGACCCTTTCTGCCACTGGCATCTCAGTGAGCAGAACTGTACTCATGGGCTGTTCCCACTGGAATGGCAAGAAATTTTTGTATTTCCCATGAAAACCCCAAGCCCACCAAAACTCTGGAGGGGGAAGGAGGGAGGGAGAGTGAGACTGAAGTATCAGCAGAGGTTGCCTCTCCCACCCCTTCCCCATCAGCAGGGCCCTTTGCTGGATCATGTGAAAGGAATGAGTCCTTCCATTTCTAGATGGGAACTTGGGAACTAAGAAAATGCTATTTTATTCCTTGCACTTTACAAGATGTTGTGATCAAGCACAACAGGCCATTGCACTACTGAAGTATGCATTGGCTTTCTGCTACTAATCCTCTCTGGTCTTCCAAGCCTTCATTTAAAAGCCACAAGCACAAAAGCAAAGCAAGTCTGCCGCCGCCAAAGCACACGCTTGAACCAAAGGGATGCAAAACATCCTGTTTCTTTACCTGGTGCTGCATTAAAGCTGCAAACTTCACGTGCAGGTGGGCCGCAAACCAGTATGCGGGTTTCAAGTGTTCCAGAAGCTCTGAAGCAGCGGGGCTGCCCAAGGTGTTGCTTTCCACCTCTGAGCGGAAGAAGGCCTTCTTTTTCAGCAGCAATTTCTTGTTTCCATAGTGATAGATACTTCTTGGCCAGTCGTGTGAGAGAAATATGTCCATTGGCTGTTTTAACTGTTCAGATCAAAATTAAAGCAGCATAGATGAGACATGTCTACTGGCACCAGACACAGAACCATAGGAAAGGATGTCAGGGAAGGAAAGAAATAAAGTAAATATGGGATACATTCAGTTGTCACACGAAACTATGGTCCAGCACAAGGGCTGAAGAACCTGTCCACCTCCAGGAGCGGCTGGATTAAACCTCCTGCTCTCTTGATGATTAGCCATGCTGGCTGGGGTCAGGATCCCAGACGCCTTGTATACTAACCTGCTTCAGTTTGAAGACTTCGATGTTCCGTACATGGTAGACGCTCCTTATCGTTTGCTGGTTGTATGGTGGACACTCAAAGTGGCCTAAAAAAAGTTAAGAAAGAGCAAACTGAAGCACAGTGGTCTCAAAGGAGGAAAGCCATGCTCTCCAAGGAACTTTCTGTGCAACGGAAAGCTTTAATGAGAAATGAAGGGACGCATCACACTTGAACCTCAGTATGAGACTGATGCCTTACTGACCAGAACTGATCCTTGGGCCTGATGTTATAGCTGCATCCGCACAAGAGCCAGGAGGAGGAGCTAGGATCCTAAGCAGTAGAGCACAGCCTGTTTTGCCCGACCTGTTAAATGGCTCTCTAGACAACAACGGAGAAAGGTGAGCCTGGATGGTACCCCTTTAGAAGCCATTCAGTCATGCAATTCTCCCACCTGCTCTCAGCAGAGAAAAGAAAACCCCTAGATTGTGTTCTTTCATCAAGATTCTGCATTTTCCTTAAAGGACCAAATAAGATATATATGGTTCTCAATAAAGGACTCGATATGATATATTCAGTTCTCCTCCTGCTGCAATTTTAGTGAGTCATGCTGAGAAATAGTGACTGGCCTAGGGCAGTTCACAGATAAGGAATTTTCAGAACCTTTGCTTCTTCAATCCTAGTTAAATACTGCAACTGCTACACTGCCCTGGCCCTCACGAAGGACTAGTTTTTGAGTGCAAGCTAGGCTAGACCTCTTCTTTCTCCTGAATATCAACTCTTCTACTTCCAGGAGAGATTTTTTTTTGGGGGGGGGGTCAGGTGGGAGAAGACATACAATTATGAATCTTGCAATTCCAGAAAATCTTAGATAAAGAATTTCTTTGTGCAGAAGAAAGAATTTATTAGGTAAATGGTCAGGATGCATGGCTTCAGTACACTTCAGACTCCCATTACATTCAAAGCCAGGAAACGTTGGTTGATTTTAATTGTGGTTAGTTCAAGCAAGGCAGTATCATAACATGGTTTCAGAGCATTTCCCAGTAACATCTGATCCAGGCTTCAGAACCAGCCTCTCCATTTCTTTCACAAGAAACTCACCCCAGGGCACAGAGCTTTGCACCAACAAATCACAATGGCACATTAGCTTAAAATGTGAGTCTCAGGTGTTGCACCCAAGTGTACCTTTCCTGTAATCATGAGATTTGTAGATGCCAGAGAGTCCACCAATTCTCACCCCGCGGTATTTTACAACTCCTGCATAACCTGAAACAGGAGAAAAGGGGTGTTGATGAACAAGAGCAATTCCAAACTGTCCACGAAAGCCTCCACTAGCACATTCATTTTGTCCCCAAAGCATTTCTCTCATATACAAAGCTGTCCACCGCTCCGTGGTAGTTGGGTCTGCTCTGCTCCTCAAACCAGAAATCGCCCAGGACTGCCAAATGGCCTTTTCCACATGCCGGCCTCCCAGTTATACCACACGTGAAAGTGATTCTTTGCAGGATGGTTGCTGAGTCTCCATCCTGCTGCTTTCATCTCCTCCTCTTCACTGCTAGCGTGGAGTTAAGTGATACTGACGAGCCCTTTGAAGCAGAAGGGCAAACCTGATGCTTCAGCAAACTCAGCTTAGCACTGCGCAATGCAGGACATGTTCAGACTGCACATGGCTTAGATGTTCCTCCTTCAAGACTCTAGAGCAGACTTTGATGATCTGGTACCCTCCAGATTTTCAAGACTACAGCCAGTCAATAACTTCCAGAAGACGTGAGGCTGGAAGAAGGTGCTTCTAGGGAAGCAGACCAGCCCTCTGGGGCAAACAGGAGAGAGCCCAAAACCCAGAGGTCCCTCCACCCAGCCCAACACAAGGTATAACTGAGCAGAATGCGTATCTGTGCAATGTCCTCACTCTGCTGCCCTATGAAGCCAGGAAGGAGGACAGGGAGGGCCACACTGCGCTGGGCAGGTGCAGTCTGCTATTCAGGGACTCGCCATAGTCACCCCTAGACCTGCGTTATGTTCTCCTCACCTCTCTGATGCCCACTCACACCACAGCATTGGGAAGGACCTCTTTGCCACAGGAAAGGTGTGCCAGCATGATGTAGTGGTTAGAAAGTAAGGCTGGGTCTTAGGAGATCTGGGTTCCAGGCTCCACTCAGATGTGAAATCCATGGGGTGCCTTTGCACCAGCCACAGGCTCAGTCTAACCTACCTTACAGGGCTGTTGTGAGGATCAAATGAACAGCAATAAGATTACATGTCACGTTGGGCTCCTTGGAGGAAAGGCATGATACAAATGTAACAAATAAATACTTAATATAAAATAAAATGCACACGGCAGTGACAGTGTCTTTTTATCTAAGGTTTCAGAGATAAGCAGTTTCCCACAATGGCCACCTGAGGTCAGAAAGAGACAGAATTGGAACTAGATTCTTCACTTTTCCTATTGACTTAAAACTTGCCAAAAGCAACAGCAAAAGCTGATATCACACAGGATGGCTGCTGTAAGATTATGCCAGTCTGAGCTCTGGAAGAAACAATCCTCATTACAAAACAGAAATAATGCATTATTGTGATTTGTAACAGCTATATAACTAGCAGCATAGGCTCTTCTTAAAGAGGAATTCATTGTAAGTTTTATCTGTTCAAACATGCAGGTCTCATTTGCTATTGGAATAATAATAATATGGGATAAGAGTAATTAGATCTGTTGTGATACTAGATTTATTGGACAACTAAATTCGATCTGCTATTTTCTCTCCTTTTGAATTACATGAAATACCTTACATGAAACTGCAGCTGTTTTCTTCATAGAATATAGTCCCATAGAAAATTAGTACACTTGATTTTTTCAAAGAGGTTTTTGAACCACTGAGCACATGTTGCAAAACATATACATAACATGAGCCACACATTACAGAGACACCCAGGGAGGCTTCGGACTGAGGCTGAGTCCACAGGCTGCCTAAGGCAAACTACCAAGTTAATGGCCCAGTTTGTACAACACAGTCAGTTCTGGTTTACTGTGAATAAGCAAGGATGCTGGGATGCTTGATTGTCCCCACTTGGCTCCTCCAGCTAGCTAAAGCAGCTAAACTGAGCAGGAAGCTTTAGTTAATGCTATGTTTCCCTTTATATCTAGACTGGAACCACTGGCTTGTTCCTTTCCTAATAAGCCAGAATTACAAACCAGGAATAAGTCTAGTTTATGTTTGTTAGCTTGACTGGAGATCAACAGGCCAGATATTCCCATGTAAATGAAACACTAAACCTATCACTGATAATGATTCCCTGGTTTGTTCAGCCAGGCAAGCAGTGATCAAGAAACTTTCAGTACTAATCAAGATCATTCCTGATAAGCCAAATTCTAGATCACTCTGGTTTAATATGAAGTCTGGACTAGCCCAATGAAAGCAATGAAAGTCGGGCTGCAATCTTATAACCACTTACCCGGAAGTAAGACCCACTGAACGCAGTGGGCCTTACTTTTCCGTAGGCAGCTATGGGATTGCACTGGGGATTCCCTTATCATCCTCATGCTTCACTAGTGTCATGTAATAGTTAATCTGGGACAGAGAAAACCCAGGTTCTTTCAAATCCACACTGAGCCATAGGATGTCCATGAGCCAGTTGCCATCTTTCAACCTAATGGACATCACAGGATTGCTGCCAGGATAAAATGAGAAGAAAACCCACAGAGCCTTGGAGGAGAAACAGGATATAAATGTGACAATCTCTCTCTCTCTCACACACACACCCCTCAGTGTATCCTGCTGCTTCCTACTCTGTCAGGGCAGGTTGCATTTGAACCGAAATCCTCAGCTTTCCACCAGCATTCTAGTCTACCAAGACAAGCAGTGAAATTTCATACCAAGGTAAGAGAAACGGGACTAAGCCTAGATTTGAATATGTCTACAGATTGCTATTAAAAAAAAAAATAGGGAGCTGACCCAGTAGGTCTGATGTCTCTGATGATCGATTTTTTTAGTTTCTTCTTTTTGGTTTGTAGAAAATAATAATAAAATTTACTTAAAAAAAAAAAAGAAATTTCATACCAAGGTAGTAGATGTTTGGTGCCACCCAACCACCATACGGCAGCTCTTGCAAGTGATTTGAAGCTTCATGGTTGCCCCCAATGAATATTGTCAGGACAGGAGCCTTCTTCTCTCCAGAATAATACCTAGAAGACACAGTGAAAACCCAAGGAATTAAGCATCCACTGTCTTTGCCCTCACTTGCCCACCATTAATAAATTACCTGGAAATGGGTTAGGGATGAAAGGCTTGGGAATTGGACAATTTTGCATCCTATCGTTTGCAAGTCTAAAAGTAAAGGAAGATGAGAATTTTCCAAAATGAGGAGCTATAGAATTTTTCTGCATAACCTACTAAAGGTGTGACATATGTACACATTCAGTCCCTTGAATTCTGCAATTCTGAGACACTTTCAGCAGGTGAGGAATCAAGCATATAGGTTGATATACATACACCATTGTATCCCATATATCACATGTGGTGCATTGTGAACAGTATGTGTTCAGTGCCCAAATTAACCTGAAACACTACCCTTGGATGAAAGGTGGATGAATCACATAGGTCAGCATGAGATGCTTTGATATATTTACAACGCAGTGAGCCTCTCTCAATTCAATAGGAATCATGATATAATAAGAACATTTAGGGCTCAGTTAAAGGTCACCCAAGTGCCTTCACTGGGACATCAGACTCAATTAACACACAAGCCCCCTTCATGGGTTGTATGCATAAAAGCCTTGCACACACGGTCTGTGCCCCTGAGATCAGCAGGGGAAGCACGAAGATTTAAGTTTTGCTGGATCCCTGAGTGTGTCAGCTTCCATCTCCCATAGAGATCTATGGATATGGGCTTTTCTTCTGCAGGTGCTGGACAAGGAATGCACAGGTATCTGAGCTAGAGGGAGGCCGGTAAGAACAAATGTTATGGAACCACCTTTCCTTCCTGACTGGGGTATGCTGGGGGTTGTAGCATTTCTTCCCACTAAATATGCACAGGATTGCCTCTTTACAAGTTTAGAACAATCTGAATCCTAATGTCTACTTTGATTTCAAAGGCACTTTCTTCCAGATAATAGTAGCACACTGTAAATGCTTTAAAACATTATATATCGGATGAATAGAAATAAAAGTGATGGCAATAATAATACGTAGAACTGCAGGATTAGAAACGTGAAAGCATTGACCTATACATTCATGATCTATACATAGTAACGAAAGACTGCACAAACAAACGCCTTCCTGTGATTCATGGTGAGGGAATTTGCACTTTGCACGTGCTCAGAGGCACCCCCTCCCCTCCCCTCCCCTCCCCTCCCCCCCCCAGCTTTCTAAAAGGAGTCCGGGGCCGGGAAAAAATGGAGGGATGGATTATGCCAAGCCGCTTTGGCAGGGTTCCTGCCCGAATAAAAAGCGGGATGGATGGTTGGATGGATCCCTTTCCCGGAATATCCTGCTTTGTCTCCTCTTCCCTCTCTCCCCCGGAATGCTCACCGCGCGAAGCCTCCCAAGACCCGGTATTTGGCAGGCACCGCCATGCAGCGCAGATCCGCCGAGTTGCGGACGGCCTGGAAGTCTCCGGCGCAGAGCAGCAAGTCCGGCAGCGCCTGGCCGTGGCGCTGCTGCAGCCACTGGAGGGTCTCGTACATCTTGTCCAGCGCGCCATGGCAGCAGCCGGCCACCGCCACCTTCATCGTCCGGTTTCTGCGCATGCGCCCCGCCGTCGACTCGGCTCTATTACGCAAGCACCTTGGGAGACGCGGACTTTTACCGTTTCTCGCGGTGGAGGCTGGCGGCTTTCGCGCATGCGCGTGGGAGAGAGAACGCGTCCTCCCGGGGCCTTGGAAGGTTGCAGGCTCTGCGCGACATTCTGACGTTCGGAGGGAGCCAGAAACACGTGTGGCAGTAGCTCTCCTCGGTTGCGACTTTACATGCAAAATATTTATTTATTTATTTATTTGAAGCCTTTCTATCCCGTCCTATAACGAAAAAAATCTCAAGATTGTTGAATATTATGACTTTCCTTTATTATCGGGGTTATTTGGGGGGTGCGGGGAAGGGATGACAGGATGCCGGTGGACAGAATGCTATATGGTGTGGGGAAGGGGGATAAGGAGGACTTTTTCTGCCTCTGGGAACCCCAGCACCTATGAAGGGGTCGCTCCATTATTATACATGTATTTATAGGCCCCTATAACTGCCGAGGCCTTCCTAGGCGGCTGCCTGGTAGGAGAGGCAGGACGGATGAAAGCAAGGGCTTCTCCACGCAGCAACTTGTTGAACGCCGTAATTCAAGGCTCGGGCTGTAGCAGTGGCTACCCATTTGGACATGGATTGGGCAAATGAGTGGAGAAGAAGGCTCCTGATGGCTTGATGCTTCCATCAGTATCAGAGGTAGGATGCTTATGTAGGCCAGTTGCTGAGGGACATGAGCAGGAGGCCTTCATCTCCTGCCTGTGGGCAACTGTTTGGCCACTGTGAGCAGAAGCCTGGACAAAATGGACACTTGGTCTGATCCAGCAGAGCCCTCTGATTCTGTTGGTGGTGGTGGTGGTGGTATTTTACAGTTGCTAAGGGCACAGGTGCAGTGGCAATCTACCATTTGCTCTGAATGCCTGCTTTCGACCCTCTAGGCCTGGTATGGGGTGGGGAGGGGGGAGGAAAGGAGGCTGGGACTCTGATCGGATCCTGTGTAAGGCCACAGCCACAGCCTCCTTCCTTTCCCCCCTTCTGAGGCCCCATGGCCCCTTGGCAAGTACAGCCAGTGCAGTTCCTTCTGTACCAGCTGCAAGGGTGATTGGAACTCCAAGGTATTCTTTGGCAGCACCCCAGATGTTGGGAGCCATAGAAGAAGGTACAGTTAGAGCACTGTATAGCGCTATGTTCAATGTGGCTCTCCCTCTAGTAAGTGTAAATGTGTTTAGGATTGTAGCCTAATGGTGTAGGCTTACACACACTTGCCTGGAAGCAAATTCCACTGAATTGATTGAAGCATACTTCTAACTAGACACGTATAGGATTGCACAGCAAAATGTCTTCATCCAAAGATAAGCTTTAAGTTCCTCTTACAGATATTTCATTGGGTAACTCTAGGTTTTCTATTCTTACTTTACACAGTGCTTAATATGAATTCTTCTGTCACATCCTGTCACCTCTTCAGTGCCTTTTTTTTTTTTTTTTTCAAACGAAGACCTCAAATGGGGTGGCCTTTCATTATAAAGTAGCACATTTTCAGCTGTACTACATTAATTTAAGGCCTTAACTTCTCTTAAGCCATTAAGGGTACAGTTACTGCATAACACTTCTTCCCTGCTTTTTCCCTCTTTGAGGAAACTTGAGTTGACTTACACGAGTCTCCTCTCCATTTTTATCCTAAATATGCATCCCTATGCATATTTAGACAGCTATTTCCACTGCCAACTAAATAATGCCAAAACTGAAGGCCTTTTTCTAGATTAAACATGTCTGCATTGTGCCCTTCAGCTGGCAGTCATTGCCACACCCTGGCAGCACTGAGTTTCATAAATTATCTGCTGAATGAAAAATTGCTTTCTCTTACTTGCCCATAAGCTACTGCCAATCAATTTCATTGGGTAAGCCTAAGTGTCATGTAGAAGGAAGACAACATAACTATATCTGTATCCACTTTCTTTACCCCATTAGTCATTTTATCAGATTGCCTGTTGTGTACATCTTTAGTCATCTTTCTAAACTAAAAAGCCTTAAATACTTGAGCCTTGGGGCCAGCTCTACCATTTGGTGTAATGAGGGAGTTCTCTTAGCAAAATAGGCAGGAGGGTGGCAGCAGCAGCAGTGTCTACATTTCCTTGGCCGTTCCTCCTGGCGCTTCCCTCCAACGTTGATTTCAAATGTTTTTCACCAGCCTTTCAGGACATGCTGCCCTGACAACACAGCTCTGTTGTTGTTATGTGCTGTCAAATCATCACCAGCTTAGGCAGCCCTAGGAGAGAACGCCCTCCAGAATGAGCTGTCCTTGCCAGCCCTGCTCAGCTCTTGCAAATGTAAGGCTGTGCCTTCCTTTATGGAATCAATCCATCTCCTGTTTCTTGGTCTCCCCCATTTCTGTTTTCAACTTTCCCTAGCATTATTGTCTTCTCCGGTGAGTTTTGCCTTCTTGTGATTTTCCCGACATACAACAGCTTGAATTTTGTCATTCTTGCTTCCAAAGAAGGTTCTGGCTTAATTTTGATCTAGGACCCACTTGTTGGTCCAGGATATTAACACATCAATTTTCACAAAGCAGCTTATAACATTACAAAAACACAAAGATACACATTACAATTACACAAGCATACACACCAGCATCACCTTCTTTTTCCTTTAGAGGTTGTGCATCGTCATGGTTAGGCCATCTTCAGATGTGGCTGCTCTAAACAATGATATTAGATTGCTCTATTTTTTAAGCACCAGATGTTGTTGGGGGGAAATGTGTTTTCAGGTGTGTTTTTTAAAGCCAGCAGTGATGAGCTTCAAAGGTGTGGGATCACACCGAGAAAGTCCCATCCCTTAGTATCCATCAGCTGAATGGTTCTTGCAGGTGGGCTACAGATGCTGATCTTAATGCTTGGACAGGTTCTTACAAGGATAGGCTGTCCTTCAGATAATCCGGTCTCAAACACTGATAGGATAGTGCTGCTCAAGTAATTTCTCCCAGGCATTTTTTTAAAAATCAGGGAAGAAAGCATGCTTAAACATGTAGGACATACTGTAGCTTATAGCAAATATTTATCTGAGGCCTCATTTTAGTTCCTTGGGTTAGCAGGGCACATATACATATTTGGCCCTATGAGAGGAGTTCAATGGGGATTCTCTTTCCTCTACAAAGTGATCGGAAATCAAGTGTCCCTTTAAAGTCATGTCCGTGTATATTCAAGCATACAGTACGCCTTGACTTGGGCAGGGTCATTTGCTGCTCTGTCTCAGGTAACAAAATCTTCTTGGTTGCCCATGTTTAGCTTTTCATTACAAGAAACTTGCCCAACCTCTTCAACCCTTTGGGTCACCTTTTCCAGCTCTGCAACATACTTCTCAAATCATAGAATAGTTGAGTTGGAAGGGGGCATGAAGGCCATTGGGTCCAACACCCTGCTGTTGCAGGACACCAGTTTAGACCATCCCACTCAGATGGCTGTCCAGTTTCTTTTGCATTGTCTCTAGTGTGGGAGAGCCCACATCCTCTCTAGGCAACTGGTTTCCCTATTATATTGCTCTGACAGTGAGGAAGCTTTTCCTGATATCTAGCCTGACTCTGGGTTGTTGCAGCTTGACTTGATTATTCTGCATCCTACACTCTGGCATCAGTGAGAAGAGATCTTGACCTTCCTCTTTGTGACAGCCTTTGAGGTAATTATAGAGGGGTATCATGTCCCCCCTCAGTCTTCTCAAGGCTGAACATGCCCAGTTCTTTCAGTCTTTCCGGATAGGACTGTGTTTCCAAACCCTGGATCCTTTTTGTTGCTCTTCTTTGGACCTTTTCTGCATCATTCTTAAATCTTGCTGCCCAGAACTGGACACAGTGTTCCAGATGAAATCTGACTAGTGAGGAGTATGGGGAACTACTACTACTCATGATGAGGAATTAATACTTCTATTAATGCATAGGATGGCAGCAGGTATCCTACTTTGCAGAAGTGGTTAGAGGAAAGTCCTGTTTGAGTGTTTCCTCTTTAGCTGTCCAGTCCAGGTCTAGTTTAAAGCTTAAGAAATAACGGCCTAAGAAAGCATAGCAGGAAAAAGCTTTGAAGGTGCCCATTGACAGTTAGCACCTGGAGTGCTTCCAGTTGAAGCTTTGTTCGTATGATAGGACTGCCTCATTTCCAGGATTTTACAGAGGGTCCAGACCATATTGTCTTTCATTGTCTTGTCATCCTCCTGTTTTCCTCCACCACTTCTTCCAACTTCTTGCTAGAAATAAATCTGGTAAAAGGATAAAAGATGGATTCACTGCAAAACGCCTTTTGATTGTTAGCATTGGAGCTGTCCATCTGAACACACTCCGAGGTAGCAGGCAGACACAGCTGGTTTGGACACAGTCTCCCCCACTATGTTGAGCTTTATTCTATTTCTATTTAAATGATAGGTCAGTCTTTCTAAATTTGCACCTATATGTTCGAAGGAGCACATGCAACCCAAATCACTGCCTTCCTTTTGTCCTCATTGTTTTGGAGATGCATTTCCTTTCTCTTTCTTTTTTGGTGATAAGTGATTGCCTTAAACAAGGAGACCAAATTAAACTGCGTAACTCTGGCCTCACAACTCTGGTCTCTCCTCCCAATTTTCTCATCAGATGGAAATTTATTTAATTTCTGTGCCACTCAATAGCCAAAGCTCCATATGAAGGATGATTAAACAGGAAGCTGTTTCTGGGATGTGAGCTGAAATATGTTGTCAGTTTTCATATCATGGAGGCATAACTTAATTTTCCAGAGATGTTTGAAACAAAACAGAAATTCTGGCAGCTGGGATTTTCTGAATCTTTAGCTATAACTTGCAGCGCAGGATTTGCAGAATAGCCAGTTGCTGCAACCAAGTTGTCAGTTGCAACACTGTGGAACCTGCATCATCTGCACCTCATTTTGTCTGTGAAGGTCAATTGCACAACCTGTAGGAAAATGCCAGAATGACAGTACCGGAATTACCTCGGACACACCCTCCTGAGGAATGCAGCTGAATGGGAGGCCGGATCCAGCAGCAGCCCTCACGTAAGCAGCGAACAGCGTTTACACTCTTCAGCCACAGCGAAGGGGATCCTTTAGTTAACACCCACATTGCTGCTTGGCTTGGAAGATGGGGAGGCTCCTGGAGCAGGAGAAGGAGATGCCAGGTCCGGCTATATCTGGGCAACCTTTCTAATTTGAAGTGAAATGGCCATTCGCTCACGTTCCTTTTTCATCTCTTCTTTGATGCCTCTTTTTCTATCAGGTATGTGACTACAATTATGTAATCTCAGTTCAGAGCGAGATGGCAAGGGGGTAGCAAACCAGCGGTTCCTGGCTGCCACTTAAAAGGGCAAATATATTCTGTATGCTCCAACCCGATAAAGGAATGCCTCTATTTTGCCTTGGGGAGGGGGGGCAAATTGAGAGGCGCCTTTAAACATTTTGTGAGTGCAAGTTTCCAAGATTCCCACTGTTCTGGGCAGCATCCACACCAGGGTACCCAGCCCAGCACTCAAAGGTGTGTTGCCCCCACCACTTTCCTCACTGCTTGTGAAGTCTGCCCACTCTTCCAGAGAGCCTCATACACATCACTCTTTTCACGTGGCTGCTGGCAGCAAGAAGCAACCCATATCTGGATCCTTCATGTGTATGTATACGTGTTTGTATACGTGTAGGTATGTATGTACACATGCATCTGTGAGCATGCCCGAGTATGGGGCTGATCTCTGAGTTACTGTCACATGCTGCCCTTTTGGCCAGAGATGTTGTGCTCTCCTAATCTTCACTGAAAGCTCTGCTGCTATCAGAGCGCTGCCAGTTTATTTTCTTTGCTTTTTTTTCTTTTTTTTCACAATTGCTTCTCAAAGGTAACAGAGAAAAATGCAGCACAGTAGCCAATATGTTATATTTTTTGCATCTCTGGAGATTCAGTGTGTGTGTGGGGGGGGGGTGTGGGAGGTGTCTGTTCCATTTTGTATGTAGGCCACTCATCCAGGTAATATTCACATCCAGGTGTGAACATTAAAATACCATCCTGCCAGTTCACATGCTGTAGTTGGTGAGATCCATTTTAAATCACATGATACGACAGGAGTGGGCAGAAAGTAGATCTAGGGTGACTCTGTGTTCTGTTTTACAAGTAATAAGCTTTCAATTTGAAGGATTGTCAGTGGTTTGAAGGAATATTCTGTTGGAAGGTTGTTCCGATCAAGCTTGGTTTAAAGTTCTGTTTTGTTTTTTTTATTAAGACCCTCCAGAAGGGAAAACATCAGGGGTTATGCAGCTGCCCATCAATCCAGTGTCTCCAAACTTTTCGGATAATGGGTATAGTTGGAATTCTGAAAGAGAGCCCTGGGTGCTCTCACACTATGAGTGCCTGGAAGGAGATTCGGTCTTAAAATGGCTGCCACCAAGAACAGGGGTGATTGCATTTTCCAGGTGGTAAACTGGTGAGCCTAAAAGAAAATAAACTAGCTGAATAATCTGAATACCAGGCAGAGCTGTGTTAGGATCTCCCAAACATAAGATTGCTCTTATGGACCCAAATAAAGATGGAGCCAGAGGCCAACACTTCACTTTGTAGCATGTCAGCCTCCCAGTTAAAAACCTTTTTTAAATTTAAAAACACATAATTTTTTTTAAAAAAATATATAATTTAAAATAAGCATTTCAGCTTTTTAGAATTAGGAGAAAACTGCAAAAGCAAGGAAACCGCTGAACAGTTGACAACCAGGCAAAGTGAGTGGAGCCAGGAAAAATAGCCCCCACCTGAGAGAGCTGGATTGAGTCCCCAAGCGCTGGAATTGACCCGGAAGCCTATGGCTAACATCTTTCATCTCTACCCAAAACACCCCTGACTGATGCTTATCTGACTTTCTTAGCCAAAGGTGGACTCAACAATGCTTGCCTATGTCCCGTCAACAGAGCAATCCAGTGGTCACCCCAACCTCAACCCCTTCCTAATAGCTCACAGAGTTAATTCGTTTTTTTCTCTCTGTGTTGCCTAGTGATTTCTTGCAAAGGTTCACTACTGCCAGCACCTCAGAATGTCACAATTCTGTCCACCAACATGAAGCACTTTCTGCTGTGGAGCCCGGTGAGCGTCCCTGGAGAAGCTGTAAAATATTCTGTTGAGTTTCAAGGGTAAGTTTCCTTGAAATGTCTCTCCCACCTGAAATGTGGTTTGATGGAGGTGAATATAAACATTCCTATAATATTTATTTCTAGAATAATAATATAAATTCTAAATATACTATAGATATGCCACAGGTCTTTAAAAAAGTATGGAAGGCCCACATCAAAAAGGTGCAATGTGGAAGAAGATCTAGAAAGTTTCGCACTCAGTTGTAATGGGATGTACAGTAGGATTATCCAGTGAACATGAATAGATAAAAAATACTTCTTTAGACAATCTATTGTATTAGTTGCATTTCTTCAGTTAATCTACTGCATTTGTTTCTACATGATGGTTAGGGCATTCTACAAGATAGTGGTCACCCCCCTAAAACCGTTCTACACAAAGCATTTATTGTGCATCTGTGATTCCTTATTTATGGGTGTTTGCAGGCTCTTTAGACGACGTCGTGATCCTTCAGCTTTGCTTCTGCATCTTTGTAGCATTTTTTCATTTTTTATAGCATGGGGAAATGGGATATTTTATTAGAACGGGGGAAATAGTCCTGTTTTTCTTTGAGCTATTCCATTGTAGCCCAGCTCTGCCTAGAGGTTATATAACAGAAAAGCAGGAACAAAAATGCTCTTTGTGCAGGGCTCGGATCTCATTGCTGACATTCAGATGACACTCAGCTGAGAAGATAGAGCAATGAACTGCCAAACGCAGAAACACCAGCTGATGGCTTTGAAAGGGGATTAGACAAACTTATGGAGGACAAGCCTGGCATGGCGTGCTGATCGTGATAGCTGCATGCTTCCCTCTCCAGGATCAGAAGCGGCCTGCCACTGAACGCCACTCCAGCGGAGCGGAATGCCAGTCCAAGCGAGCAACAGCAATAAGGGACTTGTGTCTCCATGCGTTGTTTTGCTTGTGGGCTTTCCAAAATTGTCTGGTTGACTGCTGAAGGAACTGGATATTGAACTAGATGAGCCTTTGGTCAGCTCCATCAGGGCTGTCCTTATGTCCACAGCAAGCTTTTGACTAACTGCTGGTGTACCTGTGACTCTGTGTAGTGGAGGGCCTACCCTACTCGTTAAGCCAAGCAAAATTCCCCCATGGCTTGGGATGCAGGATACCATTCCTCACAGAACAGCAGAATGAAGTGGTAGAATCCTGAGGTGATAAAGTGTACTGCATTACTCTGAAGGCATACCACTTTTTAATGCTTCCCATCTTTTTAAAAAGAAAAAAGGAAAAAATCCTGCAAGTGAAAGAGGGCATATAAGGAAGAGAGCTTCTAGCCTGGCTCCCTATGAGGTGTTGTAGTTGCCTGCTTGGAGTGAGTTGTTCTTGTAAGGTGGAGTTTAACCATGTCCCACCAGCATTCTGGGGTTGTGCAGGCCCCTCTATAATTGCAGATCTCTGCCACTGCATTCTGCTGCATGCATAGAGCAGGTTGTAGCTGTTGTGTTACAAGAAACAATGTGAGAAAGTGTGGGGGAAACCCTGTGCCCCAAACAGGTTTGTCTGCCCTTGGACTTCATCATGTCATAACACGCATGAATGGGTATCGCTGGCAAATACCGTAGATACTGTACAGGTGTTTGCTTCTGGGATGGGAGATTCACCCTAGAGTGTACAGCGAGCAGTTATGCCCAGTTTTGCTCCACAACTTGAATAACTGAATTGTGTAAGGAATGCATGGATTGTATCCAATGTTGGTGCTACATGGAATAGATCCTTTGAATGAATTGGATCGAAGTTATACTAACCCTGGATACAACACTAGGAAAATACAGTTGGACCATTACTGTCACCAGTAAAATCTTGCTGGGAAGGCAGTGGTGCTCTGGGAGTGGGTGGCCATCGTCTTCTGAGCTGGGCACAAACGCAGTCAGGCAAAGCACCCAATAGGGAAGTGGAGGCGCACTTCAGGCAGCCGAATCTGGGCTAGCATAAGGCCACCAAATTCTCATTTATATGATGTATTATCTTTTTCTCACCATGGGGGCCACCATGTGAATTTTCCACTACAGGCATCACAGTGTAGCAGGGCATTTCTATGGACAGCCTTTGTGTTGCCTTTGTCTTCAGACAACAAACTTCTGTTCATTGTGTGACAATATGTTGAGGGAAGACTTGTGTGGATGGTTACTGAAATAAAACAAAAAATATGGGAAGAAATTAGGCAAATTTGGAAAGGATGGCATGACTTCAGGCTTCTGGGGTCTGCTTGCCATACTCCCCCTAGAATGCCTAAAAGCACCCAATGGCAGATGGGTAGCCCCAAATTCGTTGTGGTGGCTCAGGAAGTTGATTCAGCAATCTGCTAGACCCTCTGAGATGAACCCTGGAATGACCTTGATACAAAAGTCCAATTCTGTTTCAGAGTGAGGAGACTAGATACTCTGACGCAATTTGCAAAGGTTGGAACCTTTTTGCTGCTTTTCTTAAATTATGCAGAGTCAGAAACCCTTGTTGATCTATTACTGCAAATCATTCAGGACCTGCCATTGCATCCTGGTCTATCTGCTGCCCACTGCTGGGTGTAGGGCCTGCCGTTTATTCTTTGAGGACCATTCTAGCTGCCATGTCTTACTATGAGAGCCCATTATCAGACCATGTAGGCAGTCTAGCTTAACCTGGAGTTGCAGCAAACACTACTGCTGCAAATTTAAAGCACACACAAAACATCCCAAGGATGGAGGTTGACCAGGAAGCGACTCTTGATCCTCTGAGGCAAAAGCATTCAAGGATCAGCATTCTCTGCAGAGGCTACACTGTAGCCTTCCTCCTAAATTTGTCCGTTGCTTTCCTTAGGGAATATGAGCGGAACTACACCAACGACACCTGGATTCCCATTGGAAAGTGTACAGGCATTAGCGTCACTCAGTGTGACATCACAGAAGATGTTTCTGCCACTGTACCATACAATCTACGGGTTAGGGCAGCTCTGGGGACCCAAGCCTCACACTGGGCCAGCCTTGATAGCTTCTTCAATCGCATCACAAGTAAGTGATCTTGGGAAGACTGAGTTCCTCATCCGTTGCAGCGTCTCCTTCCAGCTTTACTAGAGCCGTTCATAGTGGTGAACCTGTTTTGCGGATGGAGCGCAGTGCCATAGCTAGCTCCTGTGAAAGCTCAGGTATAGCTTTTTTCACAGCTCTGCAAAGGTCAAGACTGACACAGACATTCACTGTCTTAGACCTACTTATTTAATAACTATCCTGCCCTCTATACTGATGCTCAAGCCATGAGTGCCATACAGTTGTTTATGTAGACAAAACAGTATCACCAACACACAAAAGGAAGATGTCAACACGCTTTGGGAACAACCAAGGTTTGTGGAAGTCCAAACAATCTTTAGGGGAAAAAAGAAAATAATGCAGGGGAGACTCAAAATGAGGACTGCGTGCACTCACTGTCCACAAATGCTAGCTGACTGTTTCTGGGGAGGAATAAAATGGAAAGGATTTTTCAGAAGTCCTGAACAGTGTCCACCCAATTTTAGCATTTAGCTAGTAATGGAAGTTGCGCCTACACGGCATGGAACATGTAGCTTGTTCATCACATTTTCATGGTATCATTTCTAGAACAATCCGGACTAGTCTAGACTTCCCTTACCCCCCAATGATTGCTGGTAGGGACTATTAGTGCAGAAGAAACCTGCAGGCAAAACATTATTTCTACAGTGCAAGAAACATTTCAAGTCTATGCAGGTTTCTTAAATGTCTGGTGCTGGTAATAGAATCCAATTTCCACTCCACCTTAGCCCTGAGGTGCTTGTATGAGAAAAACAAAAATGGATCTTGAGAAATGGAGGTCAGAGGTAACACTTCAAAATGCCTCTACAGGATGACTCTTCACAAATTAAGCCCATCACTGCTGAACAGGAAGTGTTCCAGAAGGAGACCACCATTCTTAGGCCAAACTCAATAAAAAGTTGGTGATCCATGATCAGGTCTCCTGTCTTTATCTATTATGCAGCTGGCTGAAGAGGCAAATTAGGGCAGGACCACAGCATTGCAGGAGACAAAAAAGAGTGAGAGGATGTAGGGCCCATACTCCCAGATGGACATCTGGCCTTCTTCCAAGCTACCCTGTGAACATGTCTTGGGTAAGCTTTGGAGGTTCTGGGAGTATTATGCAACTTTGGATCCTTCTTTTCTTGAGCTGGGAAGTGAGATGGATGTAAATCAGATTATGGGTATGTGTGTCTTTATCACAGCATCCCTCACTCCACCTACATTGACTGTCAGTGCTGCTGGATATCATTTGCTTGTGGAGCTTGAGCACCTAGGGCCTGCCTTTGAATTCTGGATATATTACTGGAGGAAGGACCAAAAGGACAAGGTATGTTTGGTCTTGCAGCCGCTGTGCAAATGCAAGACTGGTTATATTGAAAGGGAGAAAAGTGAATTTATGAGGCAAGATCTAATGGTTAGGCCATCCCAAAGTTCTGACAATACTCTGAACCTCACTATTGTTACGGGGTAGCAGGACAAATGATTCATGAGGCAGCTTCATCCTAATACTTTTTCACAATTCTCTGCAATATACCATTGTCTGATGAAGGGCAGGATCATTTTGGTTCCTGCCTAGAGCAATACAGTTATCCTGCTTGGGGACTCAGTCTTCCAAGGATCATCTCCTACAGGAGCCTGTCTTCTCACTAGGGGTGCTAGAGAAATCAGCAATCAGTTCAATGAGCTTGGATTTCTGTGAATGTGACCTGCAGATTCTGCAATTTACTGGGCTTTTTTTAAAAAGTCTCACAGATTTTGCAGATTTCCTGGCCATTGTTTCACTTTGAAGGGGGATTCACTCTAATATTCATAAATTAAGTGCACAACTGCACATTAATTGATGAAAAAGAGGACTGTAACGGAATTAAGGCAAGTAAAACAAAATGCTTCTTTAAAAAAGAGACAGTGCTGATGATGAATTCCAGAATGAATGGCACCTGACAATCCCTTTTACACAAATTGAACAAATTTACCAAAATATGTACATTTTTCCTTCTACTGCCTTCATTATCCAACGCTGCACTTCACTCCACCCCTCCTTGCTCACTCGCTCGCGCTCTCTTCCCCCCTCCCCCTCCATACATTGCCTAATTTTAGAAAAGCTTCATCATACTTTAGTAATTCTTACCCTCTAAACTAAGTTGTAGGCGTTCCCAGGGATTTTTAAGGATATCCTGTCAGATATCCATGCATCACCATTTACCACACTCAACAGGTTCCCTGACCCTCTATGTAGCATTCTCAGGAGGGTGAACAGTTTTTGTGATATGGGGGGGGGGACATCTGATTCCACTGGTCGCCTTGCAATTATGCACCTAAATCTGGATTTAACCCTATATATAAAACCCTATTTTTCTAGGGTTTATCCCAGAGGCTTACAATGAGATAGTATCAAGTCTGGTAAAGTAAATTAAAATTGACTATAGCAAAATTAAAATTTTCCTTGGTCATCTGTTTTAACAGAAAGGTCATGTCCATCTTCCCAGCCTTCAGAACATTTTCATTTTCAGGCTGCTATTGCTAGGTGCCTCTGTTTTAGAGTGAACAACAACTCAAACAAACCACAGTTCTGGTTTCAGACATCACAGTAAGCCATGGTTTAAATAAGTGAACAACTAATCATGGATTCTTTTTGTGGTTTACAGCTGGTTGACAAACCATGATTTGTTTGTGGGGAAGAGTTCAGACATAATGTCAGTTTTTACCAAAGCATGCCATAGTTTAACATTATGTATAAACCAGGCTTCAGAATACCAGTTGCTGGGAGACAAAAGAGGGGAAGGCTACTTCCACAGACATTGTGGCTAGTAACTTCCAGAAGTTTCACACCTTCCCTATAGCATGGACCGTGATCTAATCTTGTTCCATTTGTCTTAATGTACTACTGCTATTTAACTTTCTATAACAGACTAATGGGCTGATTAAAAATAAAAGGAAGAGTGGAGAAGGTTTTCTGTCTTGAATTTACTTGCAAACACTCTAATGTTTATTTTTAATTTGTTTTGTTTTTTGGTGGGAAAGTGATTGTTTCAGTCAAATAATTAAATCACAAGAAATCATTCAAATTGCTGAATTTGCATTTGGAAATCTTGCTGAAACTCCACATTTGTGAACAGTTTTGTTTGAGCTCAGGTACTTGTATGCCTTGCGTGTCCTTAGAGTTTTGGCTGCATCACACAAACATGGTGTGGATGTTTTTCTTGTTTAACGATAGTATTTGTTAACATGTGGGTCTTACAGAGAAAGACAAGGCAGGATCACACCAGGCTAAGGTATCTTATGCTTGAAACTCCTTTTAACCCCAATTTCTCTTCTCACCCTGGATTTGTTTAAATTAGGTATACTGTAAAATGGTGAGAAACAGTAGCATGACTATACATCTGGAGAAAATGGAACCCAGTGCAGAATACTGTATCAGAGCCCAGACCTATGTTGAGGCCATTAACCGGAGCAGCAATTTCAGTGAGGTGCAGTGTGTGAAGGCTGAAGGTAAGAGCAATACAGGACTGGATGGAGCCTTGTACTCCAGCTAGTCTAATTCTTTTCCCGATGCTGGACATCTGAGGACCAGAGCATCCCTGACAGAAGGCTATCCAGTCTCTGAGGACCCCCATGAGAGAGAGCCCCCCACTTCCCCAAGTAATTGCTTCAATTGTCAAACTGATCTTGTCCTCAATACATTTTTTCTGATGTCCAACTGAAAACAACCCTCCTATAAGTTATGCCTGTTTGATTTAGTCCTGTGCTTTGGTGCTGCTCTGAACATTTTTACCTGTTTTCTTTGATGGTCTTTCAGGTATTCGGAGACTGTTTTCATTTGCCACTCTAAGTTTTCTATTTTCTACTTCCTTCAGCCATTAAGACTTTTATTATATGCTTCTCTTTATGGCTGTTTTTGGAGTTTTTGAATGATATTGTGACCTTCCAATTTCACTTCTGTATGAAGGTTTTTAGTGCAGGGAAAATGCAGCATTGTGAAAGCAAAAGAAAGTGTGATTGCTTCATGTGCATTTGCACTGTTTCCCTATCTTACAGTGCTGTCTAGAGATTAAGTACTGGAAAAACAGCAAAGGAAAAGCTCATTCTTGCAAAGTGCCTGGCTCTCAGTTCTGCCATGAAATTGAAAGTTGATGCAGAGGATTAACAATTTTGTACACAACAGCTCTTCCTCGTGAGATTAGTTTTCCATTGCTTTCATTCATAGTCAGCCATATTGCTGATGAACTCTGCAGAATTCATTCCAGTGTGGCTCCCTTTCTTAAAATTGGTACCCAAATGTGGTTCTCACCTGAGAGGGCAGAAATTATGCTCTCTTTCATTATCACAATCCAAAAATATCCAAAAATTCACTGAAAATGCTGGAGCAGGAGGTCACTTAAATTCAATAATTCCAGATATTTGTGACCCTTTGATAGCTATCTGAAAAGTAACTAAAGGCACCATCCTACACAAGTAGAGAAAGAAAATAGGCCGATAATTTCTAACATGCCCCAGACAGCATAGGTATCTCATTCAGTTACTGCTCCAAATTTCACATTTAACACAAATACACATCACCCAAACTCAACTATATTTGTATTTTCATCCCACTAAAACCCAAAGTATGTGACATGTCTCAGGCTTTCTGTCCATCTATGCCAAACTGGTATTGATTTTGCAGGATAGAAATTATGGAATCCACTGCTGAGATGGGACAGCAAATTCTGAACCAAATGTCATTGGAGAAATGTGAAAAGTCTAAAATCTGTTTAAGATGCAATGCTGTTTTGATTTGCAGGTCTCTTAGGGCGTGATTCCATTGTGGCATTCTGTTCTCTCCATAACTCACCTCTTTTGCCTCCAGACAGCAGAGCCGTATGGGTGACCTTTGCCCCATTCTTCTTGGCTGCCTTGATTGCAATTATCTTGGTGCTTCCTTGGCTGACCTGGAAAACCTGCCGAATCTGCCAGTATTCCTGCTGCCCAAATGTCGGCTTGCCAGACACTTTGGTAAGAAATGCTTTGGAGCACAAACTGGGCCTTGACCCATCTCCCCCAAGAAGGTAGACATGCCCTGCTTTACAAAGCCATGGACTGAAGCCACAGACCTCCAGAGGCGCAGTGAGATTCAGGACAAAAGAAGGAAGTACATAATTAAACTACATACTGATGGCCACCAATGTGGATGATTTCAGTGTGATTTCAAAGGATTGCTAGCCAAATTCATGGAGGAAAAGAGGTTTTCAATAAGCACTAGTCACAATGGTGATACCTCTGGTATCAGAAGCAGTAACCCCCCTTTATATTAATTGTCAGGGAAGAGAGCTAGACCTTTGGCATCTCTATGTCTGTTACCTGTGGCTGATTATGTAATCCATGAGTGGAGATCAGTCATTAAATGCTAGAGTGAAGCATTCCTATTTGTAAATCCTTTCATATAAGAAAACAGTACTTCTGATAAAATAAAAGCAATGGCTTATAATTGGTAGATGATGTTAATTCCTTTACCTCTGGTCATACCTAGCTTTCCTGGGGGTCCCAATCCATATGAATATGAGCAGCAATCACAACACTATAGCCTGGGTGTTACAAGCTGGTTTTGTGTGACTTCATCTGTTGTGAAAAGTAACGAAGTATTGAGCAAGAATCAGGGCCAGCCCTACCATTAGGCCTTAGGCAGTTGATTTGAGGTGTCATAAAAAGGCAAAAATTGTTATTATTTTTTATTTGCTGCATTTTTTTCCAGCCAGGGTGTGTACTTGTGGGATTGTCTGCCTTAGATGGCTAAATAATCTGGGGAGCTTTGGGTACTATGGGTACTTACTTCTGTGTTTCAGGCAACAAAATATCTTGGACTGGCCCTGGTTTTGATTGGAATCTTTCCCCAGATACCACTGGGAATCCTTTCTCAAGTCACTGATCTGATCTATCAGCAGTAGGCAGCAACACAGGTCTGAGGTTCCTGCTCACACAAAGTTCTTTGCTCGTTCCAGCAAAGGCTGGACGTGAATGAGACTTCAGACGTTCCTCCAGCCAGTTTGCCTCTCCTAAGTCAACCTGCACTTAAGAATATAAGCCTTTCAAAGGCAGATCTGCTGAGCAAAGACAAGCACTTCTGGCATGCCCTAGTGCCATTGGGCAGCATGAGGGAGTGGACACACTCACCTTCTCAAGCCAATCCTCAAGCTTTTCAGCCTTTGACACCATACTGTTTTTCCCCCGTCTAGAAACTTACTGAATCACCTACTAGGATCCTAAATTACAGAGGCGACGAGATGGAGATATGTGATGAGCATGTGCAAGTGATAGCCCGTGAAGAGCTTCTCCTCCATTTTTGGATTCATGACACCCTTTAAAATCGCATTCACACTGAAGATGAAAATTGCAAAATAAGACCACAAATCCTACTCATCTCTTTGCCCAATTGGGCACACCCTCCTTTCCGTTACTGAGAATGAGCTACTGAGGTACTAAAAATACAAGAGTTTGCTTTATTCAAAGGAAAAATCACCATGTGGTTCCTGCCCTCAGAGTTTAGACAGATCATCTGTCCATCTGTCTGACAGAACCACAGCCAAGCACATGAATAAAAACAGGTACCATATTCATTGCTACTTACCATGTGCTTGATTTAGGAATGGTTCCAATGTATTGGGTTTTGTTTGTTCTTGCATAAAGGGGTAATCTTGGAGGTCCTATTTCTGGGATCATCAAGAAGGGCTTTCACAGTGAGTATTCACTTTATGATTGGTCTCAACAGTCAGACAATCTGTGCTTCGTTTCTCAGACTAGAGAAAGTCAACAAACAGTGAGTGCCAGAACTTTGGGCTGAAGTAGGACAGATGTTTTACATGCCAATAATTTCAGAGGGTGGGTCAGTCTACAACCATTCCTTGGCAAACAGATCACGAGAAACTATTCATGGCGGTACAGGCATGCCATACGTTGCTGGAAATCACTCGGCGAAACAAGAGCTTCCCTTCGATGCAAGAATGTGGAACGTGTAGTCCTTCAGATCTTTAGGGACTATAAACAAATTATCCTCTTCAGCACTACTACTACCATAAATCATATTGCACTAATGTCAGCAACCCCTAGCATAATGTCAAAAGTATTTGCTGGCACTACAGGTTTTCCCATTGCACCAGCAAGCACTATTAGCCTTGCACTGGAGGTCACTGGAGGTCACTGAGGTTGGCAGTAGTGTCAAATCAGTTCTAGCCAGCCTAGTCAATGTGATGGATAATGCAAATTACAGTCCCAACAATATCTGGAGGGTCACACATTCCCCATCCTGTCTTTAATATATAGAATCGTACAGAATTGGCAACACATGAACTTTTGTCTGCTTTGCTTTCCAAGCTTAGTTCCCACTTTTTCAAAGATGACTACTGTCAGTTCTCATATCTGAGAACTGTAGGAGCTTTTTCTGTCTAATTACACACAAGATCACACCTTTAACCACTTGCTGCAAAAACTGAAGTTTGAAAAAAGTTATGTTTCTGGAGATGTTTAAATGAAGCATTGCAAAGGTTTTGTATTTTTCTTTGGAGATTTTTAAAAAAACCATACATGGCACTGAATTGCTCAGTATACATAACTGAGCTCTAATTTGTTGTACAGATGACTGTATGGCTGCACATGTGACGATTATGTTTTGTTCACAAACTCAGGGGTTTACTACTAAGAGTCTGTATATTTTCAATGTCGATCATAAAACTTACATATCTTTAAACTAATGGAGTGTCATTTTTGAATGTGCGAATGTGTGAGAGAGAATTTATAGTCGAAGCAGTCCTTAGACTTGCTGTGCAAGCAAAGAAGTGCATAGGAAGACATTTGATTAAAGTTGAAGTTCCCTTTAAGCCACCTAGGGATGCCATTGGCGAGATAGGCAGCATATAAATGTTTTAAATAAATAAATAAATATGAACTGTACTGTTTCGGTTCTGTTCTCTAATGAAACCCAAATGTCCTGAGTAATTTGCCTTCTTACATGATTTTCCTATTTGATCCAGTAGATCTTGATACTATATTAAGGTTAACTATAATTTTATTAACCAAGCCTAAAGTTTCATTACGTACCCCATTTGGTAGTATTGCTTCAAAGCTACCACAGTCACTTAGACCCCCTATGCCAGTTCTGCACTCCATTAGATGAGCTTGAGCTTCCCAGTTTAGAGAGCCCTTGGATCAATATACCAGAATATAAGTTTAATCATAAATAAAAGTAAGTTTCATTATATGATCAAGTTCCATTTATAATCCTTCTGTTTAACTGCTTCTTCCTTCTTATTTCTTACCACAATGCTTCCTGAGGGAGGCTTCCTAGCACTTTCAAGACTATGCAGCTTTTCTTTTTATTCATATTTCACCTTTTGTCCTTACACGAAACTCAAGGATGGCTTACATCCTTCTCCTCTCAGTCTTACAGTAACAACAGCTCTGTGAGGTAGGTTGGGGTGAGAGCCTGTGACTTCCCCAAAGTCATCCAGTTAGCTCCTTGGCTGAGCAAGGACTAGAACACCATTCACCTGAGTCCCAGTCCTGCGCTCTCAACCAATACACCACACTGGCTCTCCTATGTTTATATTTAGTTTCTTACTGTTTAGCTGAGTAAGGCACAGACAGTGTTATCAACATCAGACAGTGTATTTTGGTTCATTTGAAAAGGCAATGAATTCAAATTCAATTCATTCAATTGAATTGCCTTTTCACGGAATTTTCAGCAATGTCAGCAAGTTCCATGCAGCTATTTATTTTAATAAAAATAACTATGATACTAATACTCCCCTCAAACATATACCTTTTGCTGTCTGGGTGGGGAAAATTTTATGCCCAAGTAATTTCGCATAATCAAATATTTTTTAGCATCATGGAACGTGGAGGGGGGCATTTGGGGGAGCACTATATGGTGCTGCTCCTCGGTCAGCAAATGTCTCGGCATCCTTCTACCACAAATGTAAATACCAATTTAAAGATGAAGCGGGACGTCCTTGACTATCTTAGGGGAAAACATCAGAAGCGCAGGAAAACGGCGAAACGCAGGCCTACAGGCAAGGCCCGGCCCCTACTTGGACGCAGCGTTTCGCAAACTCAATTTCCCAGAAGTCCTCGCGCTCTGACCATTTCCCTGACCCGGCGTTTCGTACTTCCGGTGCGCCTGCGGCGTCGCGTGCCGCGCGCTTCGGTTTCCTGTGCCGGAGTTTGAAGCGCGTGGTGGAGAACTTGCGCGTTTGTTTTCTCCAGTCATGCGGCCCGGTAAGGGTGGTGGGACACGCGGTTCGGAGAGTGCGGCTTCTCTCGGCCGTCTCTGCTCTATGCCGCGTGTCGGTGGGAGCTCGTGGGGAAAGTGGCCGGGCGGGCGGGCGGGCGGGCGGACTGTGGCACGTGGTTGCCTGAATCTTCTGCTGACCCGGGTTTATTGGGCTCTGTGTGCCTGTTTCTGCAGGCTTTAGCCCCCGTGGAGGACGCGGTGGCTTTGGGGATCGTGGAGGCCGTGGCGGCTTTGGAGATCGCGGTGGTCGAGGAGGCTTTCGAGGAGGTCGAGGTGAGTTACTTTTTCCCACTTCGCGCTGTTTGTATTTTAACTACAAGCATGTTGCCTTTTCAAGGGTGGGATAGTCGCGTGTATTTATTATCATTATGAGCCAGTTTGCCATTTTTTCCTCTTGCAAAAGGCCCTAGACAGTTGTGTTATCCTCACGATAGCCCTGTGAGGTAGACTAGACTGGGACCTAGTGACCGGCCCAGAGAGCTTGATACTGGGGGAGGAATAGATCCTAGATGGCCTGCGCTCCGGTCCAGTACCACCCTGGCTCTGCTACTGTACCACAAGTGCTGCTGCGTGAAGATCTATGTACTTTAGTACACGTTTATAGACATGGTTTGACTAGACTACCAAAGCCAGCAAAAAACTGTGTACCCAAGTATTGTGCCTACTTATTATTGTTATTGATTGCTGTATTTATTGTTTGTTTATCGCATTGTAAGCCGCCCAGAGACAATTGGTATAGGACGGGATAAAAATGAATGAATATTATTAATTTCAATTTTATGCTGACCAAGCTTCCCCTCATGATCTGGGTTCTGTAGGTACTGTGGGTGTTGTGGCCCAGCAGTATTCTGGGTGCTTTTTTATTTTCTTGAGGGTAATGTTGCAGCCATGCAGTGCTCCCCCCCCCCCCCATTTATAGTTGACAAACTGTAGTGGTTGCAGAACAACAGTCAAGACAATCCCTACTTTCCTCTGAACACTGAGAGGGTTGGGGTGTTGAAGCTTGTCCCTTCTGCAGAGGAGTCATCACACACTCCATGTGATGTAAATCTGAACCCTTATTTATGAGCATAGCATGCATTTCATTTTGGAACTTAATGCAGAGGGATAACCATATGTATTTATCAGATGAAACACTTAAAGATGTTCCGATAGAAGCTTTCATGATTTATGGCCTTCTTGGTCAGATGTATAAACCGAATTCCTGTCTAGTATCCTTCCTTTCTCTCCCCTTTTTCCTTTTTGGGACTTGAATGCTCACTTGTGGCTAGCAATGGAGTCATGGGGAAATGAAACACCTGGGTCTTTCTATGTCCTGTTATTGTCAATTAATTTGGGTTGAAGTATTTATAACAATATTGATAGAGTTTAGTGTCATTGTTTTCACTGAGTCTGAGTACATGGAGTGCAAAAATTTCTTTTGTGTTCTTCAGGCTTCCTTGTAGAGAAGCCTTGTAGTTCTGTCCACAAATACTATTAGTTTTTAAAACTCCTATCTAGTTCATCTACTCATACATGCCACTCTAAACTCATAATTAGCCTGAAGAGGTACCTGTTCTTCTCAAGTTTACTGCAAATTGCACTTTCTGACAAGGCAATCTCATCTATCCTATTTGTCTCTCAAAAGGGGAGCACACAAATCCTTCATATCACAATATTTTATCTTTGCTTCAGACAGAATTAGGCAGAGTTTGATTTATATGCATGCCCCTTGTTACAGATAATGAATGAAAATAGAAGTTATTGTGTCTTTTAAGTTCACTGAAAAATAATGGGCTTGGTAATACACAGCAGTTTCTATTGAGAAGCTATGTTGTTATCGTGGGGGGAGGGTATAGTTCAAAGGATATGGCAGTATTCGCAGGGATAACTGAACTAACTATTGGGTCCACTTTGGCCCTTGCAGACCAAGCACTGAAACTTTTGTGTGGTAGTAACTCTGGTCCTATAATGTTTTGTAGTCCGAATTAGGTTGGGTGGAGATTAACCAAATATATTTAAAATACTAATTTAGCCTTGGTTGTCACAATGAACAACATAAGTCCCTAAGCAAGTAACACAACTATGGAAATGAATGCGCAACTCCAGTCCTAAACTGTTCATCACAAAGTGCAGGGTTGCTTTTACAATTTCTTGAACTGTTGTTGGCCTCTGCTGCTCAGTTTTGCTGCTTTATTTGCTTCTCTCTTTCCCCTTCATTTTGCTGCTTTCTCTTGTCTTCTCAGCAGCAATTCACTCCTTTGCCTTTTCTGCTTCCTTTTCTCCATCTTGTTTGGCCGGCCTCTTTTCTCCACTTTGCATTCACTTTTGCATAGCTCATGACCTTGATTAGCAGACATCACAGTGGTGTTGTCAGGGAAACTCATTTGGGGAAACTATTGGAGCTACAGTTTATGTGCCATCAAATTGTCTCTGACTTAGGATGACCCTATGACTGAATACCCTGCAAAATCTTCTGTATTTGGCAGCCCTGCTCAGCTCTTGTAAACAGCTGGAATAACTGGGCCTTAAACCCGAGATTCATACAAGCTACAATGTGAGGCCTTTGAATGAGGAAATCTGCCAGGCCTGTGGCATGGCATGCTTCTAAATAGGGTATGCACTGTCCTTTCACCCACAGGAGGTGGATTTAAGTCGCCTGGTGGTAGAGGAGGAGGTGGTGGCTTCCGAGGCGGCAGAGGAGGCGGCAGCTTCCGAGGCGGCAGAGGAGGAGGTGGCCGAGGAGGACGGGGTGGCTTCAAAGGAGGCAAAAAGGTGACGGTAGAGCCCCACAGGCATGAAGGTAAGTCTTGCTCATCTAGTGGGCCTTATTGAAGGGAAACAGTTGATTCTGTGCAAAGCAGCTCTAAAGCTGAAAAAAGTAGAACTGTGGATGTCCAGAGGATGGCAGAAGATGCATTTCTTATTGTCTATGCCTGGTATAGGACACAGTAGAGGTGCGGCATTTAAAGTATATTTGGAAGGCAACTTAGCCTAGCCATTTAGCTGCAGCCTGAAATTAATAGAAATTAACATGTTGGGGACCACTGGTGAAATTCTACACACTGTATCATATTTGTGCATGGAAGTGCTGTAAACAGATACCTAGAGAGATAGGGAAAACTTGGCCCAAGTACCCATTTCCACCTGAGTAACCTAGAAGGAAGGAGATTGCTGCATGCTAGCAGTGGGTGAAGCCAAAACTACATACATACATTCATATGTATGTATGTAGTTTTCACAACTAAGAATTGCTCCTCAAAATTCCCTCTGTCACAGGTACATATTTTTTTTGGATATGATGTGTCTTTAACTTGTTGATACTTCCCTTTCTTTTAGTATGTGACATTTCCACCAGGAATTTAATTCCAAATCTTATTTATTAATCTCTCCCTCAATGTTGTGCTCAATCTATAAGGCTCCTTTGTTGGACTATGTGGTTTCAAGGATGAGACAGTGGTATTCAAACAGCCTAGACTCTTGAGTCAACAATCAACAAAATAAAACTTTATTTTTAAAATAAGCATTTTGGTTTCAAGATATTCAGTAACTTATTTCCTTGTTTAATAAAACAATGTATAATAACTGAGGTATCTTACTCTTTTCCTTCACAAACTCACAGATCCTTCTCACTCACAGATTCTCCTTGCTCTCCTGAGTGTACTTTGTCCAGTGTATTTTATTATCTCAGTTTATTCTTTCACTTCTGCACTCAGGTTTCTGTCAGCTTCTACTTCTCACACCCTTAGAATACTTGTCAATATTAGGTTTGGCTATTCCTAGTCACTAATATGTCCTCTTAAGATGCCAGGAAGCACTTCCTGTGGGCTTCCACAGGAGGTCGTTGAGGCCCCATCAGTGAGGGTTTTCAAAGATAGGCTGGACATGCACGTGGTGGAAATGTTGTGAGCAGAGCCGGCTGGAGTTGGGGGTCCGACTAGATGGCCCGGGAGACCCCTTCTGACTCTCTATGTTTCTATGTTAATTCCTTCTTTAGACTCTTAAATGCTTTTCACAGTACTCTATGGGATTCTGATGAGATAGCTACATCTTCATATTCTGCAGATGACTGACTGATAGTATCTATACACAGTCACCACCAATCAGCTCACTCATTCACCTTGCTCTTTTACTCACCCCCTTCTGAAACTTACTAACATTTAAAGGAACACACCTATAGCACTTTAAATCTTTGCACCCTCCTTAAGCAATCTAACTTGGTCAGGGTGGTCCAATTCATGGGGATATATTTCTAAGTCTAATTGCCAAATGGGGGGTCAGGTAGGCTGGAAGTTTCCCATCCCTGATTAAAAGCATTGCTAAATCCATTATTTTGTTGAATGATAGCAGAAATTTTGCATTGTGGGGCCATGTGGTTCTCTGTAAACAGAGTTTGTAAAACACAGAGTCCTATGTAAAGCCAGAAGGCTTGTCTTGTCTGAATGTGGGCCAGCTAAATGAAAGGACCCCAAAATCAGGGGCCAATGTTCAGGAATCATTCTTGTGTCTCTGCCTAAAGTATCCTAACCTGATCATAAGCATACCTGCTACCTTCAGATAAGTAGTATTATTAAAAGAGGGGAAATCTGATGGAAGCTGTAGTGTCAGAACTACCAACAGACCAACTTGAGATGCTGAACAAAAGCATGTTTTAATGATGTTGCACAGAAAGGTTTTGTCAGGGTGGGGTAGAACTGGAGGATGTTCCTGTAGAGAACAATTTCAATGGTCTCTTGAGCCTGACCCCTTTAATGGGTTTCCTGCTCTGACAGGCTTGATTAAGCTAGCCTTCTGATAAGCCAACAAAAGTTACTGGCTTGTAATGATGATTATTAGCCTGCTGGGGGCTGACAGGAAGGGGATAGTCTGTCCCTCTTGAAGAGGCCCGCTGCATTTCTATTTATGTGTAGGGAAGACAGTTGTGTTTCTCAGGACTTCATCCCTCCTATATTACTCTACGTACAGAATTCTATTTGCTTAAATTAATGGTCATTTATTGCTTAATGCAAACAACCAAAACATTCAATTAGATGTGTGAAGGCCTGTGGAGTGGGGTTAGGGAAAATGGAGGTAGGGAAGGGTGAGAACGATTTTTCCCCAGGGATTTTTGAAAACTTTGGGGAATAATTGGATGCTTCAATCCCTCCCCCATTTTCACATTTTTAAGTTCAAAATTACATTGGTTAAATTCTTGAGAACTGGAATTTCTAAGCTGTCAACATGAAGGGGATTTTTAAAGAGAACTTTGCTTCTTACAAAATACTACTTGCTTTTTGAGTTTCTCTTTGGCCTGTTGATAAATCTGCAGAGAAACTCAGAGTGCAGTGTTATGCTACTTGGAGGGTTTCTTCTGTTGAAACGTGTAGAATTGCACACTTATAACTGTTTAAAGTACACATGAGATATTGATATTAAGGGAGGTCTCCCTTGTCAGAACTGGTTTGCACATAACCTCCTATGGTTGTTTTGGCTGAGTAGGACTGTTGCCTCCTGGAAGACTGCTGCTTCTACTTTTAATCAGCAGTCTAAAATCAACTAGGTCATGGGTCGATGAACAGGCTATGAGAACCGAGAGTGCAATGTTCTTTAGGAGTTAACCATGGATTTTTGTTAACTTCAAGGTAGTTTAGCACATGATACTCAGCCTACAGTTGCCATGATGTGACCTGGTTGACGATCAGTTGCTGACTGAAAGCAGAAGTGGCTGTCGTGCTCTACACAGCACCACTTTTTGTCCCTAGTAGCTCACAGGTTGTTTAACTCATGGACTGTCATTAATACAAACTAGCAGCAGTCTTTACCTGGAAGTGAGTCCTTTGGAGTTCTTTCAGAATACATACACATATAATTGGATAAGTGATTAGGTTTCCTGTTGGACAGTAGTAGTGTTACATCAGTGAATAGTTTTCAACAGGGAAATAAGTACACCTCTCTGAGCCAAACCCTAAAACCTGCCTAAATTGTGTTTGCAAAGAAATGCTAGGAATGCTAAGGGTATTCATTGCAGGCCAAAGCCTGGAATGCTTAAATCCTTACTAAGGTGAAGCATTTCATTCGTATAAATGTGTTGTATCCTTAGGTGTTTTCATCTGCCGAGGAAAAGAAGATGCCCTGGTCACGCGGAACCTGGTACCTGGCGAGTCTGTGTATGGAGAGAAGAGAATTTCTGTGGAGGTGGGTAACAGATGATTCTTTAGGGAAGCATAAGCTGGTGAGGGGGAAGAGAAGCATGCCTGAATGGACTACAACAGCCTTCTTCAACCTAGTGCCCTCCAGATGTGTTGGGCTTCAGTTCCCATCAGCTCTGACAGCATGGACGATGGGTGTTGTACTCTAAAACTTCTAGAGGGCACTGAGTTTGGGTAAGCTTGAGGGACAAAGGGACAAGTGCAAGAGGGATGGGGGTGTGTGTGCCAGTTCTGTTCCCAACCCAACATTCCCAGATTTGGGTTCTGGACTCCCCCACATTGAACAGAAAGGCCTGAAGAGGCTTCTGATTGTGCTCACTTGAATGGGAGCGGAAATTTGTGTGTGATCAGGAAACCTGATTGAGTAGGGCTCCTGGCCGCATGGAGGTTTTTACATTCAAGTGAGTACAACTAGAAGCCTCCTTCAAGTAAGGGACTTAACTGTTACCTGGTTGTCTTAGCTGGAGAGTGAACTTTCTGCCAGTTAAGCAGGTCTTCACTGCTAAGCTTAGGTACTTTTCTTATGATGCGGGTTGAAACTACTGCCTGTGTAGAGTCAAACAGCTGTTCCATAAAGCATCACACTGTCTTAACCTCCTCAGATCTGGTGGTTTCCACTTGTTTTAGGGAAGAATGATATAAGCCATGGTCTATCGACCTTGCTGTCTGGGCCTGATGAGAATTGCAGTTTGGCACGTCTGGAGGCCACCAGGTTGGCGAAGGTTACCCCAGGTTGCCTGCATTCTGATCAGTGGCTTTCCATGATAGAGCTTGCCCATGATTATTGGCAGCTGCCAGCTGGGATGAATGGATTTTTGGTCTGACATAGCTAAAGGGCACCAGGTTGCAGAATGTGAGGACGTGGGCAGAGGCTGAGAATTGCTTGTAAATGTAAAAAGATGAGCCAGATGGAGGAGCACATGCAAAGGGGGAGTACTCCTTCCCCCTCAGCCTCACTTGGTAAGTCTCAATCCAGGTTGTCTTGCTTCCCCTTCTTCAGGATGGTGAAACCAAGGTGGAATACCGTGCCTGGAACCCCTTCCGCTCTAAGCTGGCTGCTGCCATCCTGGGGGGCATTGACCAGATCCACATCAAACCAGGAGCCAAAGTGCTGTACCTGGGCGCAGCATCAGGGACAACGGTGTCTCACGTCTCAGACATTGTTGGGCCGGTAAGGTGTTTTCTGGTGCCCGAAACTGGGTCTATAGTTTTGAGTGGATGTTAAGGTACTCTGGCTGCTGCCTCACAGTGCCTCTACTCCAGATAAAGCATTGCTCGTTGGTTTAACAGATTCCCCTAGTTTAACTGACCTCAATCAATTTGGCTTCGGTGAATGGGGCAGCATAGAAGTTCTCTAAATCAATCAATCAATCACCAAGCTAGATTGCGTGAACAGTATGATCTAGTTCTTCCTCACATTGAATGTCTGCCGGAGTTCAGAGCTGTCTCTAAGCATCATTCCATATGGGACAATCCACACACACATCTCCAGCTTCAGAACTGGGAGTAAAGGATTGTTTTGGGTGTGGGGCTGCCAAAGTATTGGTATCCCAAGCAGCCATTCATCCCCTCCTCTCTCTCCATGCTGGTTCCAGGGTTTAGAATACCCTTGCACAAGACACCTACAATGAACCCTCTCTCCTACCACCATCAGTGCCAGCTGGTATTTTTCCTCTCTGTGTTGCTACCCGTTGTTTGCTTGACAAGCAGTGGCATCTACTGCTCACCACCACCACCATGGTTTGGGCCAAAACAAGAGCTGGGTGAAGGAGCGGGATGCAGTAGTGAGGAGGAAGAGCAACTGCAGGGGGCTCATGTGACCCTCCAGCCTTCCCTGCCACATGGTATTGGACCATTCTCATACCCAGTAGAATCACTGAGTGCTGCTCTTCAAAGATTATTCTTTAGACATGTTTTGGAGCATCTGAAATAAATCCACGGTTACAGCCATGGCCCTGCAATTGCAAAAGCTTCCTCCTTTTCTTGACCACTGCGTGCCCTTGTGGACAAGCCACTGGCTCACTTTGCTTCTTGTCCAACAGGAAGGCCTTGTGTACGCTGTGGAGTTTTCCCATCGTTCAGGCCGTGACCTCATTAACGTGGCAAAAAAACGGACCAACATCATCCCTGTCATTGAGGATGCACGGCACCCACACAAATACCGCATGTTGCTTGGTAAGATGTATGTGAAGCTTTAAACCGGCACAGATAAATAATAGCCTCTCTGTGTGCTGACTGAACTGGGAATCCCTTAAGGTGGGCAGCAAGAGGGGCTCTTTCAGCCCTAGAGCCAGATTCAAGATAAGCTTTGGAGGGTGGCACATTACAGGGAAGGTAGGGCCGAAGATAAAAGGGGTAATACAAAAATACCACCATGCCGTAGCCTAAAACTCTTACTGCCAGTGCCAAAAGCTTCGTAGAAACATTTAAACATGCAGGAATGGGGAAAGAACTTTACAGAAGTCAGGAAACTACCAAACAGTGCATAATTGAGGTTCAGAATCTTTGGAGGGCCAGATTAGATCTACAGAAGGGCTGCATATTCCTTGTAGACCTGAGATTATCCACCCATCTTAGAATATGGGTAGAGAGAAAGTAGATCTCCAGTTGTTTGGGACTTCAACTCCCAGCATTCCTGATGTTCAGCCATGCAGGTGGGATCTTCGGATGATTCAAACAGATAGAAAACTACTTTCTGCCAGCCCCACCTTAGAAGAATACACCTCTGCCTTCCCCCTGCTCAAGGAGGAAAGGGATAAATAACGTTGTGGCTTTCAGATATTTAAAATACAACCCTCAGCCAGCAAGTCCAGGGATAATGGAAGTTATCATCCAAGTTACCTGGGCTTGGGGAAGCTCCCTTAAAAGAATGTGGATTCTTCATCTCAAAAGGGCAGGGACCAATCTTGCAGGTCTGGGTCCTTGTTTTAATACCAGGGGCTTGGTCCAGCCAAGAAACCTCAATTTTTGGAAATGAAACTGTGAAAGATGATAAACATTTATTGAATTGTATAGTGGTGAAATACAAATGCATTAATAAATGAGCAAAAGACGTTTCTCCAGTTGTGGCAATGCTTTCTGATTCAACAGGATATAACTGAGGTGCCGATTGCCCAGGCAACTTATGCATTGTTGGCATTCACAGAAAGCCAAAGAACAATGCCCCTTGCCAAGATAGTATACAGTTCCTCTCTTTGTTTCAGAAGCTTTCAAAAGCTAGCCCCACTTCCTGGGAGAAAAGGGATGGAGGCTGAGAGAAGGCCCAGCTTACCCCAGTTAACTTCAGCAAAAGGGTGTGGGAATTTTCTTGTCTCAAGGATATGAAGCAAGGAATTCCCAGGATCGGTAGCTGGTGATCTCATGCCTTCCCTGAGACTCTACGGGCTTCTCACCGCTATTTATACATACATACATACATACATTTCTATGCCGCCCCTTGCCGAGGCCTCGGGGCGGCTTACAACAATTAAGCCCAGCAAGTACCTGTTGCCTTTCTAGTTGCACTGAATCCCTGTGCTGGACCCTGAGAACTGTTTACACTTAACTCCTCATCACAATGTCTTGCAGCTGTCAATCCCAAGACATCCCTTCGGTTTTGCTAAATCATTTTACGTTGAAGAAGGGAAATGATAAAATTTACAGAGCAGTTTCCAATTATGCTGTCCTTTCCCACTCCTCCTTCCTTGCAGGTATGGTGGATGTGATATTTGCAGATGTGGCTCAACCTGACCAGTCGCGTATTGTGGCTTTAAATGCACACAATTTCTTGAAAAACGGTGGCCATTTTGTGATCTCCATCAAGGTAATGTCTACTTTGGTGACTCTCAGGCATATTTTTCCAGCTGGTATGAGATTGGAGCAAGAGGGTCACTTTGAAGTGTTGCTGGGGTGGCATCTTTGGATCACTGACACTGGCACAGTTCAGCTGTTGTCCCACCCTAGACAAACCTGTGTGTCGGGTGCTGGACTGTCTGACAAAATCTCCTCCTCTTTCCCCTCCAGGCCAACTGCATCGATTCAACAGCAGCCCCAGAAGCAGTCTTTGCATCAGAGGTGAAGAAGATGCAGCAGGAGAACATGAAACCCCAGGAGCAGTTAACTTTGGAGCCCTATGAGCGAGATCACGCTGTAGTGGTTGGCACATACAGGTATGGACAAACCTGGGGATGCTGGTATCTGGGTGGACGTGTGTGTGCCTGGAGGCAGGTCGAATACAGTTAAATAGGAGTCACTGCTATTCACTTGCTACCCTCAAGAAGCAGCAGTGGGCTTGAGGTTTTGGCAGGATTTTGTATAGATTTCCCCCAGTTCTGACCAAGAAACAGTAGTTACGCAGTCTGAATCATGGCTAGATCTAGAACCCTGGGCTCAGTGGCTAAATCCAATCATTGAAGGATGCCAGTCTGGCACTTTTGGTGTCCCCCCAAGGCCATGTTCTTCTCCTGGCTCCAGAATGTCTTGTAACCATTTAATTTCTGTAGGTCCCAGATAGTCTATTATAGAAATGGGTTCTTTGGATTTCTGATAATGTTGGTTCTTCTGTTGGAGCCATCCTGTGTTACCTGACTTTGTCTGCTGTGTTAACTGCAAGTAGCCTTCTGGGAACAGCACATTTCTATATCTTACTGTGTGCTGTTAACATATCCGGGAACATGAAATGTTCCCATGAAATGAAATTTCCATTCCCATGAAATGGCTATAACTTGGTTTAAACTCCCACAGGCAGACTGACACGGGATGCTTGCAAAATAACTGAATATTCAGTCTGAACATACGGAACTATATTGTGCATGGTAAATTCCATAGCATAGCATGATTGATGGGCAGCTTTGTTTAGTCCCGCTTCAGTTAACACTCTGCTTTTTTCTTTACAGGCCACCACCTAAACAGAAGAAATAAAGAGCAGAACCAGCTAGTCTTCCTTCTGGTGGTGATTTAGGTCAGAGTGGATTCTCTTGCCACTTTGAGTCAGGACTTTCTACAGGTGCGCCCTGGTTTCCTACGGGCCAAGCTTTTGTGTAGAGATGCTTTCCTGCATCCATATTCTATAGCATTCTCAGTTGTGCATATTTTTTTATTAAAATCAGTCATGTATTGAGGGGTTTTTTTATGGGCTTGGAAAAGAGGGGCTGCTTGCGTATAATTAGCAAGGACAGACTTAACGAAGAGCCCTATATTTCTATGCAGTGCCAGTTTCACATTTTTGAAGGTCATTGGTCAAGATGCCCTTAATAAATTGACTTTCTCATTACCATTGTCAACAACTGCTATTGCTCCTTATCCTTTTTTTGAAATCATTGCTCCTGTTTGCTCGTCCAACAGGCAGAGAGCCAGGGAGCAGGTAGAAAGTGGCATCCACTGCTCCTTCTCACCAGCACCTTTGTCTGGGGAAAAGGGAAAGCAGATGAACAAGCAGGTGATTATGGAGAGGTGGTGGAGGTGGAAGAGCAAAACCTGGACTTCTCATCACTAGGTTCTCAGCTCCTGCCTGACTATACATCTTATTTTATTTCTTTAATGTATATGCTGCCCAATAGTAACATTCTCTGGGCATCTTAAAGTATTATGAAATATTAAAATAAAGCAACCATAAAGCAACAGAATGGCAGATTGTCCCTGCGCAGCCATGGAGCCAACTGGGTGACTTTGGGCCAATCACAGACGCTTAGCCCAACCTACCTCAGAGGGTGGTTGTGGGAATAAGACTGAGAACAGGAGGAAGAGAATCATGTAAGCAACTTTGAGTTCTTTTTTTTAAAAGAAAGTGTCAAACTAAAAGTCCGTCTCATCCAGCATTTGCAATAGTGGCCAGTGCACTACCTGTTGGGCACCCACAAGTAAGACATGAATGTAGTCGCACTCTCCTGGTCATGTTTTCCAGAAACCACTAGATGTAGTCATACTACCTCTGATAATGAAATTATCATCATATAGTCATTGGTAGCCTTCACCTTCATGAGTGTGCCTTCATTCCATACAAAAACCATTCAGACTGGTAGCCATCACTACAACTGGTGGAAATGAATCCCATAGTTCTTAATGATGTGCTGTGTGAAGTACTTCTCTGGTGGGAGATTAAGGGCAATCAGCTTCATGGGATAACCCCAGCTTACAGTTTCTGAGGAGAAAAATACCTCCCTATCCACTTGCCCATACTACACAGTAAAGGATTAGATCTTCTGCAGCACTGGTCATCAAGTGATTGCCTAAGAGCCAAAAGAAGCTTACAGCCTAAAATGTGCTATATCAGCAGCACCACTATTTTTTTAAAGTTCGGGAAGTAATGTTAATTAGGTACTTCATAAGAACATTGCATAAATAAGGCATTACCAAAAGGAATAACTCATCCAGCAAAATCTATTATAAAACCTTTTCAGAACATGCTTTAGAAACATTTGAGAACATGCTTAAAAATAGGGAGTAGATTGATGGGTCTTGAAGGAATGAATTCCAGAACTGTATGACAACCACCCCTGAAAAAGCCATGTTTTTCATTGGGTCTGAGATGATGTTGGGACTGACCTTTGTGGATAGGTTTATATGGACTTATGCAGTCCCTGTGTGTTAAATTCTATGATTATTGTGTTAAATTGAGTTGGAGAAATTAGTAGCAAATCAAATTATATCCATCTCTGGATGGGACCAGGCCTGAAAAATCTTTGTTCTTCCGTACCATCTGCTGTTGTATGTGGGGGCTGCTGTCTTGATGTACTTGTTTAAAGCAGCTGAGCTCCCTAGAGTCTCTTCCTTGTGTGCTGCAACAGCTATTGTGAGTGTGGGCCTGAAGTAACATAATGAGAGCAATTATGCTTGTAGCTTTTCTTCTGTTACTAAACTGGTTGTCAGGTAAACAACCCTTAGTAATTTGGATGCACTTATCAGCAATATCTGCTTGGTGTATTACATGGAGCAAGCACTGTGTAAAATGTGCAAAGGGCATGAAAAATCTAAGAATGCAAACCCCGCAGCAGTTGGATCTATAACCCACTAAAGGGTGAAGAGGGGAGGTTGCAAACCATTCATTGTCTTGTCCTGAGTATCTGGCTTCCACTTTCTGCAGAGGTTGACTTTAACCTAGGATCTTGGGCAGCGGTCTTTTCCTTGTCAGCTACTCCCCAATTAGTTATCAGTGCAGTTGCTAGACAGTAAACTAATGGAATTATATGCCAAATGCAGGTGTTATTTTCTTGAACTACAGAATTGTCTTGTAGCAGCCTGGAGTGTAGGCTTTATTTTCAGCGTTTCAGGGAGAAATGGCCAGGTCGCAGTGTGAGGGTTCCTCTCGCCCCGTTCCAAGCGTGGGAGGCATTCGAAACCGTAGCAAGGCCACCTTCCACCACCCCCCGCATCTGGTCTACAGTAGTACAGTCCATCATTCTACCATCCAATTCTGTATTAAGTAGGTTTCGTAGATACCACTCTCAAAAAGGGATGTGAAAGACGGGAGGAGGGAGAGGGCGCGCGCAGGCCGCAAACTCCTGCGCATGCGCCGACCCGCTAGGGAAGAAGGGAGCGGTGCGAGAAAGGAAGGCACGTTCTCCGTGAGGTGCGCTCCATTCCTTCCCCCCTCCCTCTAGCCCTCCCGGCCCGCTGCCTCACGTGGCCACGCCGGCGGGGCGCATGCGCTTGACGGCGGCAGCGGAGGCGGTTTGTTGTGGTCGCCATTTTTTGTTGCATTACTGGGAAATCCCGGCGCCGGAGCAGCCGCCGGAGAACGCCCCTTGCGCTGGGGGTGGGGGCGCAACCCGCCCGCCTGCCGCGCCCCGCCCCCAGCGCGCTTCTTCTTCTTCTCCTCAGCCCCAGCTTTGAAACACACCGCGGGCCGCAGCCGCCTCCTCAGGTAAGAGACCCGCCCGGCTGCCGCTCCCTATCCGATCGACCGCCTGCCCGCTCGCCCGCCTGCGGGCCCTTCCCAGGGAGAGGGAGTGGGAGAGGAGGCGCCGTCGCACCTTCTTCCTCCGGTCCAATCCTTCCCGCCTTCCTCCACATCCCATCTCGGCTGCGGAGGGCAGATTCGCTCAGAGAGCCGGACTCTCTCGTCAGGCCCCGCCCCTGGCCGGCTCTCCGGCTTCGCCTCGGGCGGGACCCCGCTCGTCCTCCCGTTCGTGCCGCCCCGCCCCCGCCCTTATCCCCTCCCCACCGCCCGACCCCACCCTGATTCTCCTCCGCCACCGCCTTTTCTCCCACTTCCTTCCCCCAAAAGTTCTGCCCTCGCATTGCAGCCATCCGTCTCTCTTCTCCGTTTTAATAGGCCCGACCCGCTGTATTGAGTTCACATCTTTCTTTTCCGAGCGCTGCTGTTGGTGGATGGTTGTCCATCCAGCAACCATCTCCCCCCACCTCCTTACATCGTGATAGTATTTTGCAGCAAAGCCCCCCTGCCGCCGCCGCCCCTGCCGCCTTGAAAAAGAGAACCTTGCCCCTTTTCCAAGAGGAGCAGATTTATTGTGGCCTTGGCCCACTTTTTCGGAGGGACTTCATAAATAATCCTATTATTGTTGTGACTTTAAATAGTTGATATTAAATATACTGTTAAAGCTCTGGCTTCAATAAATCCAGTCATCCTTAAAGGTACCACGAAATTGGCAGCGGGGGCGGGAATTTTCCTCCATTTTTTCCCTTGTACCTCTTGGGGATTTGGGATGTGGAAATGTGCGTTGCCTAAGTAGACTGCTGTGTACTTAAAATTGCTTGCACAGGTTCTGCCAATTTAATGTCCCTCTGTTCTTTATGCACACTCAGTTCCATATACAACTCTGTAACAATCGTTTGTACAGTCAGTGATAATTAGCCTTTCTAGCCTTAGGCCAGATAAAGTCCCCCATTCCCCAAAATCAATAAAGCAGGCAAACATTGCCTTAACGTGCACAATTTTTCATTGGAAGCTTCTTGAATGAAGATGTGTGTTATGTAAGCCTGGACCTTAAAAGCAGAGGTAGCTTTGCCACAGATTTAACTAGGAGGTGGGCTTTGGGAGGGCAGCACTCTAAGGAAGTCAATTTATTATCTCAATCATGTTGTGACCATTTAAATTTGTGGTATCTAGTGGTATTGCATCATGTTCCTTTCATCCTCCTTTTTCTGAAGAAATCTACCTAGATTATATAGTCTTTATAAATTGTTCCCATCCCAATATGTACCATGGCTTTTCCATTTTCCCCCAGCTCAAAATGGATTCACAAAAGTTGCTACCTTTTCCTCAGCACTAATTATTCTAATATAATGTTATCATTTATATTTTATTTTAAATATTTATCAATTTTTTCTCTACAGTTCTTTGTTAAAATCCTAAATGTCATCATAAATAATTTCAGTAATAAGTTGCAGTTATATCATTTATGACAACTGTGGTGCTGATAGTGGAAAAGCCATTTGTTTTGACAGTACACATATTCCACCGAACATATTCCATCATGTTTCAGGATTGTGCTGATATCAAGAACTTAACATCTATACAGCAAATGCTTAGGAAAAAAATATTGTGTTTTTTGGGGCTTTCTTCCTAACTTCATTCTTTTATATATGCATACCTAGAGGTAGGCCCCATAGAACAAAGACTAACTCATTTCTGAGTAAGCCTAAGAATTTTTGTACATTCACAGCAATGCTGAAGAACTAAAAATTTCTCCATATGTTATCTATTTTCTATGATGATATTTCTCTAACTCCTTAATCTAGACAGAGAGTTGCTTTTATGATCCAGATGTTTCAAGAAAGTAATATATGGCAGTGAACTTGCTTCATGCCAACTCTAAGCTATGTAAACTGAGATTCTTGGTGGTTTGCTAAACCAGTTCTGTCTGTGCATATTTTGGTACCTGTCGCTATTTCATTCAGTCTTTAAATAAATAAATAACCAGCATTTAATATGTTCATTAATTGTTCTTCTCTGAAAACCTCCATATTGTTCAATGGAAGTTGAGTAATGCAAATGTTTGTTGGGTCAGAAGTTGTAGGTGCTGATATTGGTGCTTAGTTGCATACCCAACTGTGCCTTAGTTGGATCTGACAGTGGAAGTCAAATGGGGATGTGCTTAGGTGGATATCTTATGCAACCCTTGCAATTCCCCTTATTTTGAGCAAAAGATTTTTGTCCTCAAACTTTTGCTCCTGATTCTTTGAAAGTATATAATAAATACTGGTTTTAGGTTAAATTACTATTGTATTTTTAATAGCCTGTTGCCTGGTTGAATCTTTGAACACCTGCTTTGAATTTAGAATGCGGCTGTCTTTTGCTGGGCTACATTTTGGTCCACATCAC